ATTTCTTGACCAGTGGTCTGGGACAGGGATGTTGTTTTGATTTGCCAATTCATAGGCAAGTTCTCTGCATTTGAGGCTCTAAGCCCATGAAACTGGTCCGCTAGATTCTTGATAAGTTTAGCAAGCTCAGACTCCATGTCATCAGAGAAGACCTTGTGTGCCTCTTCTACTCTGTCATAGCCTCTGTTTGTTTTCTTTTTCGTCAATGTACCTCTTCAGTGTCATAGTCCATTTTTGTATCTCTTGCTGCTGCTCAAATGGACTTCTTCCCTTCGCTCACATCCTTGGCTGCTCTCTCAAGAACCTCAAGGGGGGCTAGACCCCTGCTTGTTTTACGTTTGTATACACAGGGCCTGCTCTGTAACAATACAAATGCACTATTTGGAGTTCATATGCATGACACATTGCAAAAATACTATGTATTTTACGTATAAAACGGACAAAATGTAATCATAATTTGTATGGGGTATGGTGGCAAACATTTTGACTATATTAGCCCACACTGCTACAAGGATGCACTTTCATGCTAGTTTTAGGACCTCATATTGTAGCTTATAGAGACCCCAACTGACGTACAAAACAATCTTAAAACGATCTACTTTGGTTTAGATACAAGCATCATGAAACCTATAACCCAATAGTTAATCAGACTTTGTGAAAATCTTTTTTTTGGACCTAACTTGTTTACTACCACTTTTTCCTTGTGGTTTCTTCCTTCACAGACTCCATGAAATGATGACCTATTTGTAAATATTTGGTCACATGATTAATTTTGTGTGGGTTCCAAGAAACAGGGGGCTGGCTCATCTAACCTTTTGACTCAACTTACCCCACTCCCCCTACATCCACTGACTAGAGTGACCATTTTGTCTTTACCTGTAGGGATTCACAGCATGGACTTACATTTAACATGGTATTACATGACGTTAAACACAGACGGAATCCTTGTAGTTGACATATTTTTGTTGTTTGATGGTGCAGGCTTTGGTGGAGGACATTCGCTCCTGCTCGCTTAGACAGAGAATGTGTGTGTGGTGTGTGTGTGTGTGTGTGTGTTGACTGTGAACGCCCCCCACAGACAGTGTTGTGATAGAAGGTGTCTGGAGAGAGTTGATCTGGCCCTGGACTGATCCTGATCTGATGTCAGCAGACTCTCACAGGAGGGGACTTACCGCAGGCAGACAGGGGCAGCACGTTTGTGTGTCTGAGTCTGTGTCTGTGTGTGTATGCGGCAGGGACAGAGAGCCTACTCGCTGCTCCACCAAGGTGCCATTGCCATCTTGCAGCACTGCATGGCACTGTGTGTATGCGTGCAGGCATGTGTGTGTATGCAACTGTGCATTCTGTTCTTTGGCAGAACTGGAGTGGAGAGGCAACATAACAGTTCATACTCCCCATGACTATTCAGAGCCTGCAGAAAGTAGCTTTTCACAAACTGTGCTTTTAAGTATTAGTAATCTCTCCCCTCCCTAGTAAATCTGGCCTTGTGTGTCTCCTGAACTTTAGGCCATATTAATACTATAGCTGGGCCCTGTCTGCACTGGGTCTGTCCTCACTCTTCAAGGTCTCTAAAGGTAACAGCCAAGTAAACAAACCAACGGCAAATATATGTCTGCACAAATACCATATGTTCCCTTAATGAGGGTGGGGCGTGCGGTGGTGTGCGTCAGCTCTGTCTCGCTGTTGTGTAGTACGCCTGTTTTCCTCTGGATTCATCTGTATTGTGGGGCTTGTTTTTCTGTTTGTACATCTGGATTTGAATGAAATACATGTACATCGTGGATATTTTCTGTCTTCTTCATCCATACTGTTATCAGATTTTTTTTCTCCAGATAACAAACAGGTAAATAAATCAATTATGAACACATCAATCCAGATGAACTGTTCTCTGTTCTGCAATCCCAACACTCATTCTCTCCTCAGTCAAAGCCCTTGTTGGTTTTTATAAAAATAACTGATCTGACCATGGTTTGGAACCAAGCCCTCTTTTCACTGCCAATCCCTCCATTTATAATCCAGTATTGGATGGCGGAGGCTTTTGCCTCTCACCACAATGGAGAGCAACCATCTCCAAATGGTTTTGTATTGTGACTGACTGGCAGGCTGGCTAGTACCGGGGTATCAACACCTTCAAGCGTTAAATGAGGACTCTGCTCCAGCTAAGATGCTGCTTGCCTGGAAATGTGGGGAATCGAAAGAGGTGTGTGTCTGTTTTAGGGCTTTGTTGGGTGTGATCCTACCCCAGCCAGCCCTAGTCCCTACAAAGCCTTGCCTCCTGGAGAGCCCTGAGCATACTATCAGTCAGACAGACCCAGACCAATCGGACGCTATCAGAGCTCTAGAACACCTGCAGTGTAGAGAGAGAGCGAAACCTTCCATAACAAAGCCATCACCTACAGACAGATTAACCTAGAGAAGAGTCCCCTAAGCAAGCTAGTCCTGGGGCTCTGTTCACAAATACAAACAGACCCCACAAATCCCCAGGACAGAAACACAATTAGACCCAACCAAATCATGAGAAAACAAAAGGAGAATTACTTGGCACATAGGATAGAATTTACCAAAAAATACAGAGCAAACTGGAATGCTATTTGGCCCTAAACAGAGAGTACACAGGTGCAGAATACCTGACCATTGTTACTGACCCAAAATGAAGGAAAGCTTTGACTATGTACAGACTCAGTTAGCATGGCCTTGCTATTGAGAGAGGCCGCCATAGGCAGACCTGGCTCTCAAGAGAAGACAGGCTATGTGCACACTGCCCACAAAATGAGGTGGAAACTGAGCTGCACTTCCTAACTTCCTGCCAAATGTATGACCATATTCGAGAGACATATTTCCCTCAGATTACACAGACCCACAAAGAATTCCAAAACAAATCCAATTTTGATAAACTCCCATATCTATTGGGTGAAATACCACAGTGTGCCATCACAGCAGCAATATTTGTGACCTGTTGCCACAAGAAAAGGGCAACCAGTGAAGAACAAACACCATTGGAAATACAACCCATATTTGTTTTTTTAGTTTCCCTTTTGTACTTTAACTATTTGCACATCATTATAACACTGTACATAGCCATAATATGACATTTTAAATATATATTCCTTTGAAACTTGATTGTAATATTTACTATTCATTTTTGAGAGAGAGAGAGAGAGGAGAGAGAGAGAGAGAGAGAGGAGAGAGAGAGATAGAGGAGAGATAGAGAGAGAGAGAGAAGAGAGAGTAGAGGATAGAGAGCGAGACTCTCTATAGAGCGAGATAGAGAAACTATCGCTCGAGCCGCGATCTCCTCGCTCTGCTATCCGCCGCGAGCTATCTCTTCGCTCTCTCTCTCTCTCTCTCTCTTCCTCTACTCTCTCTCTCCTCTCATCTCTCTCCCTCTCTCCACCCTTCCCTCCTACAACTTGTACTCTTCATCTATTCATGTGCCTTTACCCTAAATATTTCACCAACTCATGATTATTTCATTCCCCTCAGAACGTCTCTCTCCCCAGCCTGTCTGAGATGGAAAGACAGACATAGAGATGGAAAGCGAGAGAGATAGAGACGGAGAGGGATGTAAGGAGTGAGAAGGATAGGCAGAGAGAGTGGGAGAGAGGAAGCGGGCTGCAGAGCAGAAAGTGTGCCACAGAGCAGAGACAAGCTCTGCAGTCCTGATCAGTCCCAGACCCGCATCTGTTTCCCTACCTCCCTTGCTGCGGCTGCCAGCTCAGAAACAGCGGCCTAAATCGAATGTTTCCCCCAGTGATTGATAGACAGATGAGGGGGAGGGCTGTGGCCCGGCTGCTGGCTCTGTACTGTTATGTGATCTCCTGGCCCAGTCTCTTCCCTCGCCCCCTCCCTCCACCCCCCCACCCATAGATAATCCTTCTTAATTCTCGGCTCGCCCTGCTCCAGCTCTGCTCTGGTTCCTCTAAATTGTGATTGACTGCTGTTGTCCCACATAGCTTGCCTGTCTGTCTTCCCCCTCCCTTCCCTCCTCTCCTAGATTAACCAGATCAGTTTGAGGTTTCAGGATCCCCCATGCTGTCTGACACCACCAGGGCCAAACAGAGCCACACTGAGATGAGAGGAGAGAAGTCTCCCGTGAACCCCACCCCCCCACCTACACGGTTCGAAAAAAGGGTTCCAAAAGGGTTCTTTGGCTGTCCCCATAGGAGAAAAGGTTCTACTCTGTGGAAAGGGTTCTACCTGGAACCAGTAAGGGTTCTCCTATTGGGAACAGCCGAATAACCCTTTTAGGAGGCTAGTATTCCCCTGGCTGTGTGTTGGCGACATCACGGTCCCCCTCAGTCCCCCCTCTGTCTGAGCTGCCATCTGTCATATGCCAGGCCAAACCCCAAACTCACAGCTCACCCAGGACTAGTCACGGAGGGCCCTGAGCTCTGAGACCAGACCACGCTGGGTCTATAGTCATGTCTCTCTCTGTCTGAGTCAACCACAATCACAATCTGACCCATACAGAAAACCTGACTCACATTGAGGAATGTGTTATTGTGAGTGAGGGCTTATGTAAAATGGACAGTGGTCTGTCTGGACTGTAGTTTATGGTGGTCCACTGTCTAGTCAGGCGGTTTGTTAGAGTGCAGTAGGGAGATATGCCATCTCTTCTCTATCTCCCGCCCTCCCCCCGCCCCTGCGTGTGTGTGTGTGTGTGTGTATGTGTGTGTCAGACCAATATGATGTGAATCAAGGTCAGTGGGGATTCGTCAGCAGCCACCCCTTCCCCCTCCCCCTCCCCCTTAGGGGTTGTGTACTGAGCTAAGCCTGTCTGTCCAGGCAGCCGACCCACAGACACAGTGCTAGGCTAGCTGCTCAGCCCACAGCTTAATTACTGGAAAGCCCACAGAGTGTCTGACCTCCACCGTTAGCCTAATTGAAATTTAATTGAATTTCCCTTGTCTAGACTAATTAAGCTCCTACTGAAACCGCCAATCTTTTAGCCACCCAGCACCTAGCCTAGCTAGCCTCTGGACGGCCGGGACGCGCATCCTATGGTGTGGGAAGAGAGGAAAGAAAGTGGGAGGAAATGGGTGGAGCTGAGGAAGGCAAAGGGGAGAGGTCTGGTATTGGCTCTCAGGGGTGGGTGTGGTGAGAAAGAAAGATGGACAGAGAGAATGAGAGGAGGGAGAGAGAGATGGACAGAGAGGGGTGCAGACTAAAGTGAGGTCAGGGTGTGTGAGGTAAGCAGCATACGCCTCTGACCTGGAGCATGTGGTTAAATACCACTGAGCAGTGGCACTCATCTTCTGCCTAACCTCAGTTGTGTGTGTGTGTGTCCGGCATTGTCCCAGGCTTGTTGTGCGCAGCCCCCATTTAGTACAAGGGTGTGTTGTGTCTGCATGCACATATAGTGCCTTACAAAAGTATTCATCCCCTTTGACGTTTTTCCTATTTTGTTGCATTACAACCTGTCATTTAAATGTATTTTTTATTTGGATTTCATGTAATGGACATACACAAAATAGTCCAAATTGGTGAAGTGAAATGAAAAAAATACCTTGTTTCAAAAAAGTATAAAAAATAAATAACAGAAAAGTGGTGCGTGCATATGTATTCACCCCCTTTGCTATGAAGACCCTAAATAAGATCTGGTGCATCCAATTACCTTCAGAAGTCACAAGTAGTTAAATAAAGTCCACCTGTGTGCAATCTAAGTGTCACATGATCTGTCACATGATCTCAGTGTATATATACACCTGTTCTGAAAGGCCCCAGAGTCTGCAACACCACTAAGCAAGGGGCACCACCAAGCAAGCGGCACCATGAAGACCAAGGAGCTCTCCAAACAGGTCAGGGACAAAGTTGTGGAGAAGTACAGATCAGGGTTGGGTTATAAAAAAAGATCTGAAACTTTGAACATCCCACGGAGCACCATTAAATCCATTATTAAAAAATTTAACGAATATGGCACCACAACAAACCTGCCAAGAGAGGGCCGCCCACCAAAACTCACGGACCAGGCAAGGAGGGCATTAATCAGAGAGGAAACAAAGAGACCAAAGATAACCCTGAAGGAGCTGCAAAGCTCCACAGCGGAGATTGGAGTATCTGTCCATAGGACCACTTTAAGCCGTACACTCCACAGAGCTGGGCTTTATGGAAGACTGGCAAGAAAAAAGCCATTGTTTAAAGAAAGAAATAAGCAAACACGTTTGGTGTTCGCCAAAAGGCATGTGGGAGACTACCCAAACATATGGAAGAAGGTACTCTGGTCAGATGAGACTAAAATTGAGCTTTTTGGCCATGAAGGAAAATGCTATGTCTGGCGCAAACCCAACACCTCTCATCACCCCGAGAACACCATCCCCACAGTGAAGCATGGTGGTGGCAGCATCATGCTGTGGGGATGTTTTTCATCGGCAGGGACTGGGAAACTGGTCAGAATTTGAAGGAATGATGGATGGCGCTAAATACAGGGAAATTCTTGAGGGAAACCTGTTTCAGTCTTCCAGAGATTTGAGACTGGGACGGAGGTTCACCTTCCAGCAGGACAATGACCCTAAGCATACTGCTAAAGCAACACTTGAGTGGTTTAAGGGGAAACATTTAAATGTCTTGGAATGGCATAGTCAAAGCCCAGACCTCAATCCAATTGGTATGACTTAAAGATTGTTGTACACCAGCGGAACCCATCCAACTTGAAGGAGCTGGAGCAGTTTTGCCTTGAAGAATGGGCAAAAATCCCAGTGGCTAGATGTGCCAAGCTTATAGAGACATACCCCAAGATACTTGCAGCTGTAATTCCTGCAAAAGTGGCTCTACAAAGTATTGACTTTGTGGGGGTGAATAGTTATGCACGCTCAAGTTTTCTGTTTTTTTGTCTTAGTTTGTTTCACACAAAAAAATATTTTGCATCTTCAAAGTGGTAGGCATGTTGTGTAAATCAAATGATACAAACCCCCCCCAAAATCCATTTTAATTCCAGGTTGTAAGGCAACAAAATAGGAAAAATGCCAAGGGGGTGAATACTTTTGCAAGCCACTGTATGTATGTGTGTGTGCATGCATGTGTGTCAGTAGTATGTCCCTCCCTCATGACAGTTTTAACCCCTCAGCTATAAATACCAGGTCACAATAACCCCCAATGGACCTTGTCACTCAGATTCATATCACCACAATCCCTTCTCCAAACCCCTGGAAACTCCACTAGCATCCACATTTATATTCCTTTGCCTCTAAAACAACAACATCCTTGATGTGTTTGTGTTCCCCCAACTACACAGAGAGGGGAACAACACCCAAAGTGCTTCAGACAGGCTCTGGGGAGAAGCAGGGTTCTCCTGGGAGGTGTTTGTTGAGATTCTTTGCTTTTAGCAAGTGAAAGACTGTGCAGTTTTAATGGTTGTGATTCACCATAAGTATTTCATTTGAGTTTTTTCCACTTCCTCTAGTGAGTGACGTAGATGAGTGCAGAGTGAGTGACGTGTGAGTAGAGAGAAGAGATGAGAGAGATGAGAAGACGAAGAGTCTAGAGGTAGAGAGAGAGGAAGATGCGGAGGAGATAGACACTAGAGCGCCTTCTCGAGCCTCGAGCTAGTCGCGCCTAGCTCTCCTCTCTCGAGCCGCTCTGACCTCTCTCCGCTCGCCTCTCTCTCATCTCCTCGCGCTCTCTTCTCTCTCTCTCTCTCTCGATCTCTCTAGCTCTCTCTCTCTGCTCCACGCGAGGACGCAGAGAGCGAGAGCTCGAGGAGAGAGTTTATTTGTGTGTGTTGAAGTGTCCTTACTCTCCCTTCTTCTTTCCTTTCTTTTCTCTCCCCAGGTCCCTATTCAGCCTGGCCAGTCTTTCAAGTTCACAGTCCTGGAGACCCTGGACCGCATCAAGGAGGAGTTCCAGTTCCTCCAGGCTCAATACCACAGGTGCTGTATACTCACTCACTACCCTCCATCTCACCTCAGGCCAATATAGACTATATTACAGATGGTATATACACACCACCCTCCATCTTATCCCATGCAGGCCTACATAGACTCTATAGGCACAATCCTAACTTGAGATCCTCAAATCTTCTCTCATAAACATCAATACACGATTGAAGTAAAAGTCTGTGCTTCCCATGTATCTGTGTGTCTGAAGATAGGAGACTGAGGGTTGTGTCCTATATGAATTCTACCAATTAAGGTGCCTCAGGGGAGAACAGTCCGTACTCCTCTCTCCAAAGGACTGGGGGATCCCCCTGGGAAACACTGCAACACGTCTGCTGCTCCTCTTATTAGTCTATGAAATATTATACAGGCTAGATTAGACATCAGCCGTAATTGTACTGTATGTGTATGTGAAAGCCAAGGACGGGTGCAGTGAACTATATTGTTGTTATAACACAGTCAGATCATATGCAGGTACAGATTCTAACCTTATCCATCTTAGTCTTAATGACACAGTGGCAGGGTGTTAGCCTGGTCCCAGATCTGTTTGTGCTGTTTTGCCAACTCCTATGTCTTTGTCATGCATAGGAGTTGACAGGACCGCACAAACACCAGGCTAGCAGGGTGTGGTGATATGGGTCTATACTCCATATCATAGCAGAGTGATGGTGTGTTTTATCAGAGAGATAGTCTGAGTAGAGTTGACCTGCAGTGACCTTGGTGCTGAGAGCCCAGCTTCACAGCAGGAGCTGAATACTCATGGCCATATCTCTCTCGGTCACATATCTGTGAACAGTGTGCTGAAACTAACATCGTTCTGCAATATTAAAGCTGATCTACCCCCTAAAAAAATATATATATGTACACTACCAGTCAAAAGTTTGGACACACCTACTCATTCAAGGGTTTTTCTTTATTTATACTATTTTTTACATTGTAGAATAATAGTGAAGACATCAAAACTATGAAATAACACATATGGAATCATGTAGTAACCAAAAAAGTGTTAAACAAATCAAAATATATTTTATATTTCAGATTCTTAAAATAGCCACCCTTTGCTTTGATGACAGCTTTGCACACTCTTGGCATTCTCTCAACCAGCTTCATGATATAGTCACATGGAATGCATTTAAATTAACAGGTTTGCCTTCTTAAAAGTTAATTTGTGGAATTTATTTCCTTCTTAATGCGTTTGAGACAATCAGTTGTGTTGTGACAAGGTATGGGGGGGTATACAGAAGATAGCCTTATTTGGTAAAAACATTCAAGTCCATATTATGGCAAGAACAGCTCAAATAAGCAAAGAGAAACAACAGTCCATCATTACTTTAAGACATGAAGGTCAGTCAATACGGAACATTTCAAGAACTTTCAAAGTTTCTTCAAGTGCAGTCACAAAAACCATCAAGCGCTATGATGAAACTGGCTCTCATGAGGACCGCCACAGGAATCGAAGACCCAGAGTTACCTCTGCTGCAGAGGATAAGTTCATTAGAGTTACCAGTCTCAGAAATTGCAGCCCAAATAAATGCTTCAGAGTTCAAGTAACAGACACATCTCAACATCAACTGTTCAGAGGAGACTGCGTGAATCAGGCCTTCATGGTCGAATTGCTGCAAAGAAACCACTACTAAAGGACACCAATAAGAAGAAGAGACTTGCTTGGGCCAAGAAACATGAGCAATGGACATTAGACTGGTGAAAATGTGTCCTTTGGTCTGGAGTCCAAATTTGAGATGTTTGGTTCCAACTGCCGTGGTGAACGGATGATCTCCGCATGTGTATTTCCCACCGTAAAGCATGGAGGAGGAGGTGTTATGGTGTGGGGGTGCTTTGCTGTCTGTGATTTATTTAGAATTCAAGGCACACTTAACCATCCCATCTGGTTTGGGCTTAGTGGGACTATCATTTATTTTTCAACAGGACAATGACCCAACACCTCCAGGCCTTGTAAGGGCTATTTTACCAAGAAGGAGAGTGATGGAGTGGTACATCAGATGACCTGGCCTCCACAATCAATCGACCTCAACCCAATTTAGATGGTTTGGGATGAGTCGGACCGCTGAGTGAAGGAAAAGCAGCCAACAAGTGCTCAGCATATGTGGGAACTCCTTCAAGATTGTTGGAAAAGCATTCGAGGTGAAGCTGGTTGAGAGAATGCCGAGAGTGTGCAAAGCTGTCAAGGCTATTTGAAGAATCTCAAATATAAAATATATTTTTATTTGTTTAACACTTTTTTTGGTTACTACATGATTCCATATGTGTTATTTCATAGTTTTGATGTCTTCACTATTATTCTACAATGTAGAAAATAGTAAAAATAAAGAAAAACCCTTGAATGAGTAGGTGTGTCCATCTTTTGACTGGAACTCTATATAAAAAAATGTATATAAATCATTCTCCCACTGCAACCTGGGTCCCATCGGTCTCTCTGTCTGATCGATCTAGATCCATAACCTTTTCAGCTTTGACAAGAAGGAGAGATTCAGGTGGAGCTGCAGGGTAGACCGACATAGTAAGCTATAGTGTATGTCCTGCACTTGATCAGTTTGTTGACGTGTGTGTGTGTTTGTTTCTGTGTTTTCTGTCATGTGTGCGTTGCGTGCATGGTTGCCTGTATGTGTGTGTGTGTGTGTGTGTGTCTTGCCACTGCAGCCTGAAACTGGAGTGTGAGAAGCTGGCCAGTGAGAAGACAGAGATGCAGAGACACTACATCATGGTGAGTTTGATTCTATTTGCACCACCACTATTCTATTTGCACTGAAGTCAATCAGACAACATGGAGAAGGAAGGCCCAGTCTCAGTCTGGCTTTACAAATGGACCCCTGTCCACTACACCAACATAGGAGGCTATCTAGCTTGTTGAGGAGCATCATCTACATTAGTTAGGAGGATGAGACTGTCCAAAAACACTCTCTCCCTCTGCAACAGCTTGAGCCCCTCCACATCTGTCTGCCTAAAGACTTGTATATAAATAACTATGTCTAAGTCTGTGGTACAGACACAGTCAGGACAGAACCTGAATACGATATGAACCATCTGCTGAGCAGCTCCCATTTCATCAACCTGAGAGAGAGAATGAGACATAGACGCACAGATACATGGGAAGAGCAGTGCACAGTGCAGTATGGTAGACAGACACGACACTACCTCAGACTAAGAGTTAGGGCTGGGAATTGCCTGGGACCTCACAATACTATATTATCACGATGCTTAGGTGCCGATGTATTGCGATTCCATACTGTGATTTCATTGCGATTCGATGTTCCAAACATATTGCTCATGTCTGCTGCAAAGGGACAATAGAGTCAAGAGAAAATGAGAAATAAAAGTGCTGAAAACAAGTTGGCTTCCTATTTAAAAAGAAGATGGAGAACAAACTGTATTGTTGGGGGATTTGGAGGACCACAGTCAGTCAATAGGAAATATCATTGTGCTCTTGTGTAAAATGTATATTTTTTGGGCAATTTCGTCAGGAATGTTGCAGGTGGGAGGTTCAAGTGCGACACCATGGTAGAATGGTGTGATGTATTGCAATAGGATTTTTTTTTACGCTACTACTACTCGCTGTTTATTATCTATCCATAGTCACTTTACCCCCACCTACATGAACATATTACCTCGACTAACCTGTACCCCCGCACATTGACTTGGTACCGGTACCCCCTGTATATAGCCTCGTTATTGTTATTTTATTGTGTAACCTTTTTTAAACTTTACTTTAAAAATATATATTGTTGGTTAAGGGCTTGTAAGTAAGCATTTCATGGTAAGGTCTACACCTGTTGTATTCCGCGCATGTGATGAATAAAATTAGATTAGCTTAGATTTGAATTATGATTTACTGGGAAAGATGGGTTGATCTGTGGCTGTCTGAAGGTTGGAATTAATGAGTGTTGGAATAAATACAGTGCATTCGGAAAGTATTCAGACCCCTTGACTTTTTCAAAATTTTGTTACGTTGCAGCCTCATTCTAAAATTGATTAAATTGATTTTTTCCCTCATCAGTCTACACACAATACCCCATAATGACAAAGCAAAAACAGGTATTTGTAAATTTATCACATTGACATAAGTATTGAGACCCTTCACTCAGTACTTTGTTGAAGCACCTTTGGCAGTGATTACAGCCTCAAGTCTTCTTGGGTATGATGCTACAAGCTTGGCACACCTGTATTGGGGAAGTTTCTCCCATTCTTCTCTGCAGTTCCTCTCAAGCTCTGTCAGGTTGGATGGGGAGCGTTGCTGCACAGCTATTTTCAGGTCTCTCCAGAGGTGTTCGATCAGGTTCAAATCTGGGCTCTGGCTGGGCCACTCAAGGACATTCAGCGACTTGTCCCGAAGCCACTCCTGCGTTGTCTTGGATGTGTGCTTAGGGTTCTTGTCCTGTTGGAAGGTGAACCTTCACCCCAGTCTGAGGTCCTGAGTGCTCTGGAGCAGGTGTTCATCAAGGATCTCTCTGTACTTTGCTCCGTTCATCTTTCCCTTGATCCTGACTAGTCTCCCAGTCCCTGCCGCTGAAAAACATGATGCTGCCACCACCATTCTTCACCGTAGGGATGGTGCCAGGTTTCCTCCAGACGTGACGCTTAGCATTCAGGCCAAAGAGTTCAATCTTGGTTTCATCAGACCAGAGAATCTTGTTTCTCGTGGTCTGAGAGTCTTTAGGTGCCTTTTGGCAAGCTCCAAGTGGGCTGTCATGTGCCTTTCACTGAGGAGTGGCTTCCGTCTGGCCATTCTACCATAAAGGCCTGATTGGTGGAGTTCTGCAGAGATGGTTGTCCTTCTGAAACAGAGGAACTCTAGAGATCTGTCAGAGTGACTATCGGGTTCTTGGTCACCTCCCTGACCAATGTCCTTCTCCCCCGATTGCTCAGTTTGGCGGGGAGGCCAGCTCTAGGAAGACTAGAGCTTCATCCATTTTAGAATGATGGAGGCCTCTGTGTTCTTGGGGACCTTCAATGCTGCAGACATTTTTTGGTACCCTTCCCCAGATCTGTGCCTCGACACAATTCTGTCTCGGAGCTCTACGGACAAATCCTTCGACCTCATGGCTTGGTTTTTGCTCAGACATGCACTGTCAACTGTGGGACCTTATACAGGCAGGTGTGTGCTTTTCCAAATCATGTCCATACACAATCCATGTCTCAGTTGTCTCAAGGCTTAAAAATGTCATACTTGAATAAAAGTGAAGATACCTTAATAGAAAATTCCTCTAGTAAAAGTTAAAGTCACCCAGTAAAATACTAGTTTAGTAAAAGTAAAAGACAATGCTTAAATATACTTAATTATCAAAAGTTAAAGGAAATGCTATAAATCCTTTCAAATCCCTTATACTGTATTAAGCAAACCAGACGGCAAGATTTTCTCTTTTTTTTAATTACATTTATGTATAGCCAGGGGCACACTCCAACACTCAGACATCAATAACGAATGCAGCATTTGTGTTTAGTGAGTCCGCCAGATCAGAGGCAGTAGGAATGACCACGTGCTCTCTTGTTAAGTGCGTGAATTATAAAAAATGTCCTGTCCTGCTAAGCATTTGAAATGTACTTTTGGGTGTCAGGGGAAATGTATGGGACTAAAAATTACATATTTTCTTTAGGAATGTAGTGGAGTAAAAGTAGTAAAAAATATAAATAGTAAAGTACAGATACCCCCCCCCAAAATACTTTAGTACTTCAAAGTATTTTTACTTAGTTACTTTACACCACTGGTCAGGCTGTCTGTAATGCCTACTGTATGGGCAGTGATCTGGAGGAAGGGAGTGAGAGGGAGGGAGAAATGGACTGAGGGAGGGAGGATGAAATGGAGGGAGAAAGACATTGACAGGGGCTCAGGAGCGAGAAAGTATTATTTAATTTCTTTTTATGAAAAGAGAGGCTTAGAGAGAGGCAGCCAGTCAGAGAGAGTCGCTGAAAGAGCGATAGATCGAGAGAAGGAAAGAGAGACGGAGAGAGAGAGAGCGCAAGCATAGACACGTAAATAATATGAAGTAGCAAGGTCTCAGTGGCTCCACTGTAGGGCTAACCCAGAAGGCTATATTTAGGTAGTTAGACAGGCCTGTCATGTAAACTAAGACTTGTTTCCACAGGCAGCCAGCAGCCCACTCTTTCTTTAGACTGCTTGTATCATTCATTATTCTGTAGATTTAAATACAAGGTACGGGATGTTCCAGCCCGCTAACGTACTACTTCCAGGGAATGATTTACGACCTGGCTGATGATGATTATGATGTTGAGCATGGAATAGACATCAGGATTAATTTGGAGCAGCATATTGGAATGTTGGCGCCATAAAACGAGGTAAAAGTATAAGCAGGCAGCAGGGTGTTTTGTACATTTTGTTAAATCTCTCTGCAGCTTTATGCATAAACTATATAGAACCCGTCTACTGTGGTAGTCTACAGAGACATGATCAATGTGGAACTACAGTGGTTGTCACACACACACATGAGAGAGGGTGTCTGCGGGTGCCTTGTAATTCATGGGGCTCAGATTTCACAGTTCTCTCGGAATCTCACAGTGTATTTCTAAATAAGACTACATTGTTTCACTGTCCAATCAGAGACTGAGAGGTGTGTGTGTGTGTGTGTTAGTATGTGTGTGTAGTGTTTATGTTTGAGATAGAGGGGCACCGCAGGGGTCTGGTTTTAATGACCATCCATGTGGTCACTCATCCACTGTAACCCTGTGAGTCTGTTTGTGTGTGTTCGTATGTGTGTGTGCTATACATCCCCGCGAGAGGGGGGAGGGATGTGTGTAGGGGAGGGGAGGGGAGGGGGGGGTGGATTAATGCAGTGCTCTCAGCCTCTTACTCATCTGTCTGATTCAGGCTGACACACTGTTCCCTCTTCAGGAACATTAAAGTCACAGATTGCCAGAGAGAGATGGAGGGAGTGTCAGAGGAAGGGGGGGGAGGAAGGAGAGAACCAGGGCTGAGGGAGGGAGGGAGGGGGGGAGGAAGGAGAGAACCAGGGCTGAGGAAGAGGGAGGGAGGGGGGAGGAAGGAGAGAACCAGGGCAGGAAGAGGGAAGGAGGGAGGAAGGGATGGGGATAGAATTGTAAAATGATTGCTCCCCGGGTAAGCTAACCATCTCTATGACATATGATACTGTGAGCTGAGGATTTAGTGGGAAAAAAACAGGGGCCAGATGTAGCTGAGGATTGTGGCTGTTTTTAAGAGTCTTAAACCTGTCTGAACTGTCTGGTAACATGGAGGAGCGCAGCAGCACACACATATTCACAACGATTGGCTGCTGGGGGCTCCATCAACATAAGCCCCTCATATGCCCAACGAGAAAGGCCACTCCAAGGTACAGTGGGGGAAAAAAGTATTTAGTCAGCCACCAATTGTGCAAGTTCTCCCACTTAAAAAGATGAGAGAGGCCTGTAATATTCATCATAGGTACACGTCAACTATGACAGACAAAATGAGGAAAAAAAATCCAGAAAATCACATTGTAGGATTTTTAATGAATTTATTTGCAAATGATGGTGGAAAATAAGTATTTGGTCAATACAAAAGTTTCTCAATACTTTGTTATATACCCTTTGTTGGCAATGACACAGGTCAAACGTTTTCTGTAAGTCTTCACAAGGTTTTCACACACTGTTGCTGGTATTTTGGCCCATTCCTCCATGCAGATCTCCTCTAGAGCAGTGATGTTTTGGGGCTGTCGCTGGGCAACACAGACTTTCAACTCCCTCCAAAGATTTTCTATGGGGTTGAGATCTGGAGACTGGCTAGGCCACTCCAGGACCTTGAAATGCTTCTTACGAAGCCACTCCTTCGTTGCCCGGGCGGTGTGTTTGGGATCATTGTCATGCTGAAAGACCCAGCCACGTTTCATCTTCAATGCCCTTGCTGATGGAAGGAGGTTTTCACTCAAAATCTCACGATACATGGCCCCATTCATTCTTTCCTTTACATGGATCAGTCGTCCTGGTCCCTTTGCAGAAAAACAGCCCCAAAGCATGATGTTTCCACCCCCATGCTTCACAGTAGGTATGGTGTTCTTTGGATGCAACTCAGCATTCTTTGTCCTCCAAACACGACGAGTTGAGTTTTTACCAAAAAGTTCTATTTTGGTTTCATCTGACCATATGACATTCTCCCAATCCTCTTCTGGATCATCCAAATGCACTCTAGCAAACTTCAGACGGGCCTGGACATGTACTGGCTTAAGCAGTGGGACACATCTGGCACTGCAGGATTTGAGTCCCTGGCGGCGTAGTGTGTTACTGATGGTAGGCTTTGTTACTTTGGTCCCAGCTCTCTGCAGGTCATTCACTAGGTCCCCCCGTGTGGTTCTGGGATTTTTGCTCACCGTTCTTGTGATCATTTTGACCCCATGGGGTGAGATCTTGCGTGGAGCCCCAGATCGAGGGAGATTATCAGTGGTCTTGTATGTCTTCCATTTCCTAATAATTGCTCCCACAGTTGATTTCTTCAAACCAAGCTGCTTACCTATTGCAGATTCAGTCTTCCCAGCCTGGTGCAGGTCTACAATTTTGTTTCTGGTGTCCTTTGACAGCTCTTTGGTCTTGGCCATAGTGGAGTTTGGAGTGTGACTGTTTGAGGTTGTGGACAGGTGTCTTTTATACTGATAACAAGTTCAAACAGGTGCCATTAATACAGGTAACGAGTGGAGGACAGAGGAGCCTCTTAAAGAAGAAGTTACAGGTCTGTGAGAGCCAGAAATCTTGCTTGTTTGTAGGTGACCAAATACTTATTTTCCACCATAATTTGCAAATAAATTCATAAAAAATCCTACAATGTGATTTTCTGGATTTTTTTTCTCGCAATTTGTCTGTCATAGTTGACGTACCTATGATGAAAATTACAGGCCTCTCTCATCTTTTTAAATGGGAGAACTTGCACAATTGGTGGCTGACTAAATACTTTTTTCCCCCACTGTAAATCCATTTTGGTTGGGATTTGGTCATATTTCTCCAACTCTGATGATGAAACAAGTAAAGACTTTCTAACCTAAATCTACTTTTAGGGATTTAGTTATTTCGCTATGTAGAGTTAAAACAAAGCCAAAAGTCAGATCTGGCTAGTCTTAAGGACATGTGAGAACCGCTTGCTAATAATGTATTACACTAACACACTGATAGTATCTGTCTGTATGGGAGGAGATGGAGAAGTGGAGAGACAGGCACACCTGAGGGACGCTGATGAACAATGCAATCTACGTTCACGCACACACACACATCCCATTTAGCCAAATCACCTTGGATTAGATGCACTCCACAAAGCTTCTTCTTAAGTCTGGAGGTTGCCTTAACAGAATAGTAAAGACACAGGCTGGCTGGAGAGACAATCTGACACTCACTCAACATGATGACTCACAGTGAAATGGAGGAAGGGCAAACGAGAGCGCAAACACTCTGAGATGAATGGAAGAATAGAGAGAGAGACGAATAGCAGAGAGAGAGAAAGAAAAGCTGGTTGAATGAAATGAAGGAATGCTTTATAGTGGGTTTCTCAGATGACAGTGTCTGAGTGTCAGACGAAGGGATAGAGAGACCGATAGGGGGTGGATGTTGTTGATGGTTGTGGACTAGTTAGCCAATGAAAGATATCGTCTCACTACAGTAACCCAGCAGGGTCTAGCCTGAGGGCCCAACACACTCATACACACACACACCCAGCCGCATGGTCGATCCGCGCAAGTTAATGCACGCATACACACACATTCACTGACGAACCTACATTACTGCGACACACATACACACTCCTTTCTCTCTCTCCCTCATTTTCTGTCTGTCGGTTGCTCTCTCTCATACACACTGATACACCCCCCCCCCCCCCCACCCTCGTTGTGGTGGTTGGGTGGGCGACGTCAGCAGGCTGGCTTACTGTTTCACCGCCGGGCTGAGCCTCTGCCACATCCGCCACATGCCGGGCACAATCTGCTCCAGACTGACACGCACACACGCACGCACATACCAGGGATTATACACACGGCGCTCAATGAGAATGCACTGACACGAGGGAGAGATTATATAAGGGCGGGAGGAGGGGGCAGGCAGGCAGACAGCTAGGGGAAGATGAAGCCATTAAGAAACAGAACAGACAAACCTGCACAACACTACAACAAAACTGCTCTGCTGTCTGTCTGTAGTAGATCAGGCTTTATAACAGCTCTGTGGCTGCCTGCTGCTGCTGTTGAGTTGCTGTTGTGTAGTGTTGGGGCTCTCAGCTAGCTTAGTTTAGCTTTTCACCTGGGATCATAAGGCTGCATGGGGATTTTAAGGCCGTTTTTTATACCACTGAGAATTATACAGTGGAGCCTTGGAATAGCATGTCTGAAGTAGTGTGGGCGGCAGGTAGCTTAGTGGGTAAGAGCGTTGTGCCAGTAACCGAAAGGTTGCTGGTTCTAATCCCCGAGCCGACTAGGTGAAAAATCTGTCGATGTGCCCTTAAGCAAGGCACTTAACCCTAATTGCTCCTGTAAATCGCTCTGGATAATGACGTAAAATGTAGTGTTATAGGAATGTTTGCCATTCAAATTAATGAGGGTAGATAAGATGAATGAGAATATGTGCTGTTTAAAGATGACATGTATTTTGGTGTGGTTGGGCTGGCCTGATTCCTTGTAGTAACACAGTACCCCCCCCCCCCCCCCACACACACACACACACACCCATACACACATTCTCCTTAAAACTATCTTTCCTAAATCCATGTGGATTATACAGTACTCCAATGCCTCATTGTTCACCTCTTTGCATGGGTCCAGCCATGTTGGTTCTCAATAGAACCGTATACAGAGTGTCTTTCAGCCTATAGCATGCTATGTGGAGTAGTCTAAAGCCTTTACAAAATCATTACATAGCCCTTATTCCTCTATACAGACTGCTCTGTGAAGAGGCTTGTGTTGTCCAGCATACTGCCACATTAACATACTGCTGCTCAGAAAACTACTTACAGTATCTATTATGATAGCGAGAAAGAGGGAAAGATAGAGTGAATTAATACGAATGGTAAGAGAAAAAGAGAAACGAGAGAGAGGTGGAGGGAGGACATGATGAGAAGAGATGGCACAAAATAAAATGGCTTTTATGACGCTGAGGAGAGGGCCAGAGGAGAGGATTCAGAGATGGACAAAGAAAAGAAGAGGGCGTGCGTGCATTGTACGTGTGTGTGTTCGTTAGAGACGGAGAAAGAAACAGATACGCCAGAGAGAGAGATCAAAAGCGAGAGATGAATAGAGAGAGAGAAAGAGACACACAGATAGAAAGACGGAAAGCACGGAAGATGTACAAAGTAAGAGATTCAGGGAGGGAGAGAAGAGACAGAAAGACAGACAGAGATCGAAACAGAGAGGAGAGAGAGAGAGAGTCCGTAGTCAGGTTTGATGGTCATCACTCTCGGTGCTGTTCATGTGCCTGCTGAGACTGAGACTGGCTTTGTCACAATGACTGATCCTCCCTGTCTCTCCAGCCCTGGATGGAAGTTATTACTGCACATTATTGTGTGTACACACACCCACCCACGCTGGCACTGAGAGAGACAAACACAGCCTCATACACACTGACGCACTCACATTTCCACCATGCACACACGAACGGACGCACACACACGATTGATCCCCTGATTATACAGTATTTGATTTATTACCTCCATATACTTATGTTGTTTTCTCTCTCTGCAGTACTATGAGATGTCCTATGGGCTGAACATTGAGATGCACAAACAGGTAAGATAGATGTTACTGTCTGTCAGTATTCCTGTGTGTGTTGTCTGGTCTGCTTCAGTGATGGTCTTTACAGGGAGCAGCAGAGGACAGACACCACAATCAGCATCCGTTTCAGCCCTCCCTGGCATGAGCCGCTTTCTCTATCTCACACACCACACACACACACTCAAACTGAGTGTGTGTGTGTGTTCATTTTAAATTGGCCACAGTGGCTCTTGTGTGTGTGCGTTTCACATGCATGAATTGTAGTATTTCTCGTACTATCTGAAAGAGTGTGTTTGTCACAGTAGGGTGTGTGTGTGTGTGGTGTGCATATGTGTGTGTGTGTGCGTCATGAGCAGCAGAGTCCTGGCAGGCACCCCATGTCCCTCTCTTTTCCTCACATTTCAGCTAATGTGCCATTGACAGACACGTGGCAAATTTTTGCAGAGTAAGCTTTGAGGCGCATTATCCACTTGACTGATGCCTTCATTCAAGGTGACTTCCAGCCTTCTACTCCGGCATAACCGACTGCAGTGAAAATGTCCGATGGTGTTTAGCAGAAACAAACAGACCCAGTACCAAAGATAGGGCTAGCAGAACGAGACCCAGTGAAACCAAGCCCCAGAACCACAGATCCAAAGCTAACAGAACCAGAGCCACACAGTGTGTAGTGAAAGGGGGCCGTTAGCCAGTAGCCAGGCAGGCAGGGCAGAGCTCCACTGTAAGCTCTACTGTCACCACAGAGGAGACATGAACAGAGATCTGCCTGTACTACTCCAGAAATGGAGAGAGGAGGGATGGAGTGGGAGGGAGGGAGAGAGGAAGGGAAGGAGGGAATGGAAGAGAGAGCAGCTGAGGAGAGCGAGGGGGGGTGGGACACAGGCAGGGGACACAGGAGAAGGGAGAGGAAGGCTGAGACAGTGAAAAGAGAGGGAGAGAGAGGTGTTGAGCAAGAAAGAGAGAGAGGGCGAGGGGGAATTAAATAGAGAGAGTGTGATATGAGAGAGAAAAAGAGATGGTTAAAAAAAGAGCCAGATAGAGAGGAAGGATGAAAGAGAGGGTGAAAGAAAGAAACAAGAGCGAGAGTGCACCGAGAAACGACAAAGGGAGCTTTGAGCTCTGGCGAGGAATAATGAATCATGAATACATTTAGCAGTATCTGCTCTTATTTCCTCTCTTCCCAGCCCTAGTCGTGTGCCATTACTCTCCACCTTTTCTCCTGTGCTGCTGCCATTAATTGAGCCATCGCAGTCACTCGCTGTCTCCAGGAGTCACGAGTCCCTTTAGCTTCTACTGATCAGGGAGGGATGTGTATAGGAGAGGATTTGGAGGGAATGGGCCGGCTGCCAACAAGGCTACTGATACTAACTGATCTGATACTATCTATCTGTGTGTGTGTTCTGTCTGCCCCTCCCTTCCTGCCGTGGAGATGGTGATCAGTGATCGGCCATGGCATTATGGTGGCTTTAGACTGGAACACAGCTAACGGAGCACAGCATAACCTGTCTGCCTCACTGGGAGAAAGATACTGTATGTAGGACAACTGAAGGATTGGTAGACTGGGGTTACATATTCAGTGATATACAGTATATGTCGGCAGCAATACAGTCATGTCAACACGTGATGTTTTAGGTCTGCAGACTGCTAGTTATATATTCCATGCTATACGTTCTCAGAAGTCTCATGGATATACGTCCAAAAGAAGCCTCAGTACAGGGGTTGAATATGCAGTGATATACAGTGCATTCGGAAAGTATTCAGACCCCTTCCCTTTTTCCACATTTTCTTACATTACAGCCTAAAATTGATTAAATAAATGTTTTTCCTCATCAATATACACAATACCCCATAATTACAAAACGGAAACAGGTTTTTAGAAATGTTTGCAAAACATGTTTGAAATGTTTGAAAAACAGAAATACCTTATTTACATAAGTATTCAGACCCTTTGCTATGAGACTCGAAATTGAGCTCCGGTGCATCCTGTTTCCATTGATCATCCTTGAGATGTTTTCTACAACTTGATTGGAGTCCACCTGTGGTAAATTCAATTGATTGGACATGATTTGGAAAGGCACACACCTGTCTATATAAGGTCCCACAGTTGACAGTGCATGTCAGAGCAAAAACCAAGCCATGATGTTGAAGGAATTGTCCGTAGAGCTCAGAGAAATATCTGCAACATTGAAGGTCCCCAAGAACACAGTGGCCTCATTCATTCTTAAATGGAAGAAGTTTGGAACCACCAAGACTCTTCCTAGAGCTGGCCGCCAGGCCAAACTGAGCAATCAGGGAAGAAGGGCTTTGGTCAGGGAGGTGACCAAGAACCCGATGGTCACTATGACAGATCTCCAGAGTTCACTGTGGAGATGGAAGAACCTTCCAGAAGGACTACCATCTCTGCAGCACTCCACCAATCAGGCCTTTATGGTAGAGTGGCCAGACGGAAGCCACTCCTCAGTAAAAGGCACATGACAGCCCACTTGGAGTTTGCCAAAAGGCACCTAAAGGACTCTCAGACCATGAGAAACAAGATTCTCTGGTCTGATGAAACCAAGATTGAACTCTTTGGCCTGAATGCCAAGCATCACGTCTGGAGGAAAACCTGGCACCATCCTTACGGTGAAGCATGGTGGTGGCAGCACTGTGCTTTGGGGATGTTTTTCATTGGCAGGGACTGGGAGACTAGTTAGGATCGAGGGAAAGATAAATAGAGCAAAGTACAGAGAGATCCTTGATGAAAACCTGCTCCAGAGCGCTCAGGACCTCAGATTGGGCCGAATGTTCACCTTCCAACAGGACAACGACCCTAAGCACACAGCCAAGACAACACAGGAGTGGCTTCGGGACAAGTCTCTGAATGTCCATTAGTGGCCCAGCCAGAGCCCGGACTTGAACCCGATCGAACATCTCTGGAGAGACCTGAAAATAGTCCTGTGTAGCTCAGTTGGTAGAGCATGGCGCTTGCAATGCCAGGGTTGTGGGTTCGATTCCCACGGGGGGGCAGTATGAAAATGTATGCACTCACTAACTGTAAGACGCTCTGGATAAGAGCGTCTGCTAAATGACTAAAATGTAAAATAGCTGTGCAGCGACGCTCCCCATCCAACCTGACAGAGCTTGAGAGGATCTGCAGAGAAGAATGAGAGAAACTCCCCAGATACAGGTGTGCCAAGCTTATAGCGTCATACCCAAGAAGACTCAAGGCTGTAATCACTGCCAAAGGTACTTCAACAAAGTGCTGCGTAAAGGGTCTGAATACTTATGTAAATGTGATATTTCCGTTTTTTATTTGTAATACATTTGCTTTGTCATTATGGGGTATTGTGTGTAGAGTGATGAGGGAAAAAAAACAATATAATCAATTTTAGAATAAGGATGTAAAGTAACAAAATGTGGAAAAAGTCAAGGGTTCTGAATACTTTCCGAATGCACTATACGTAGGTCTGCAGAAGGCTAGTTACATTTTACAGTGAGGGAAAAAAGTATTTGATCCCCTGCTGATTTTGTACATTTGCCCACTGACAAAGAAATTATCAGTCTATAATTTTAATGGTAGGTTTATTTGAACAGTGAGAAACAGAATAACAACAAAAAAATCCAGAAAAATGCATGTCAGAAATGTTATAAATTGATTTGCATTTAAATGAGGGAAATAAGTATTTGACCCCTCTGCAAAACATGACTTAGTACTTGGTGGCAAAACCCTTGTTGGCAATCACAGAGGTCAGACGTTTCTTGTAGTTGGCTACCAGGTTTACACACATCTCAGGAGGGATTTTGTCCCACTCCTCTTTGCAGATCTTCTCCAAGTCATTAAGGTTTCGAGGCTGACATTTGGCAACTCGAACCTTCAGCTCCCTCCACAGATGTTCTACGGGATTAAGGTCTGGAGACTGGCTAGGCCACTCTAGTACCTTAATGTGCTTCTTCTTGAGCCACTCCTTTGTTGCCTTGGCCGTGTGTTCTGGGTCATTGTCATGCTGGAATATCCATCCACGACCCATTTTCAATGCCCTGGCTGAGGGAAAGAGGTTCTCACCCAAGATTTGACGGTACATGGCCCCGTCAATCGTCCCTTTTGATGCGGTGAAGTTGTCCTGTCCCCTTAGCAGAAAAACACCCCCAAAGCATAATGTTTCCACCTCCATGTTTGACGGTGGGGATGGTGTTCTTGGGGTCATAGCCAGCATTCCTCCACATCCAAACTTTGCGAGTTGAGTTGATGCCAAAGAGCTCCATTTTGGTCTCATCTGACCACAACACTTTCACCCAGTTCTCCTCTGAATCATTCAGATGTTCATTGGCAAACTTCAGACGGGCATGTATATGTGCTTTCTTAAGCAGGGGGACCTTGCGGGTGCTGCAGGATTTCAGTCCATCACGGCGTAGTTTGTTACCAATTGTTTTCTTGGTGACTATGGTCCCAGCTGCCTTGAGATCATTTACAAGATCCTCCCGTGTAGTTCTGGGCTGATTCCTCACCGTTCTCATGATCATTGCAACTCCACGAGGTGAGATCTTGCATGGAGCCCCAGGCCGAGGGAGATCGAGTAATTGATCTGCATGGAGCCCCAGGCATCGAGTAATTGTCTCTGGCCCCCTCCCAGTTAGGGGAAGTGACGAGCTCTACAGCAGAGTCTCAGCACCCATCGCTGGTTTGAAAACTGTTTTTTCTGCCCCTCCCAAAAGATAACATTGTGGATAATGGCCCTCTTTCTGGGACTCACCCCAAACAGGACCAAGCCTGACCTCTGAGGAGTGACGGACTCCATCCTAGCTGGGAAGGGGGCTCCCCCTCTTATCTACCCCAGTACTTGTGTGTACACACACCCACCCCACGCTGGCACTGAGAGAGACAAACACAGCCTCATACACACTGACGCACTCACATTTCCACCATGCACACACGAACGGACGCACACACACGATTGATCCCCTGATTATACAGTATTTGATTTATTACCTCCATATACTTATGTTGTTTTCTCTCTCTGCAGTACTATGAGATGTCCTATGGGCTGAACATTGAGATGCACAAAACAGGTAAGATAGATGTTACTGTCTGTCAGTATTCCTGTGTGTGTTGTCTGGTCTGCTTCAGTGATGGTCTTTACAGGGAGCAGCAGAGGACAGACACCACAATCAGCATCCGTTTCAGCCCTCCCTGGCATGAGCCGCTTTCTCTATCTCACACACCACACACACACACTCAAACTGAGTGTGTGTGTGTGTTCATTTTAAATTGGCCACAGTGGCTCTTGTGTGTGTGCGTTTCACATGCATGAATTGTAGTATTTCTCGTACTATCTGAAAGAGTGTGTTTGTCACAGTAGGGTGTGTGTGTGTGTGGTGTGCATATGTGTGTGTGTGTGCGTCATGAGCAGCAGAGTCCTGGCAGGCACCCCATGTCCCTCTCTTTTCCTCACATTTCAGCTAATGTGCCATTGACAGACACGTGGCAAATTTTTGCAGAGTAAGCTTTGAGGCGCATTATCCACTTGACTGATGCCTTCATTCAAGGTGACTTCCAGCCTTCTACTCCGGCATAACCGACTGCAGTGAAAATGTCCGATGGTGTTTAGCAGAAACAAACAGACCCAGTACCAAAGATAGGGCTAGCAGAACGAGACCCAGTGAAACCAAGCCCCAGAACCACAGATCCAAAGCTAACAGAACCAGAGCCACACAGTGTGTAGTGAAAGGGGGGCCGTTAGCCAGTAGCCAGGCAGGCAGGGCAGAGCTCCACTGTAAGCTCTACTGTCACCACAGAGGAGACATGAACAGAGATCTGCCTGTACTACTCCAGAAATGGAGAGAGGAGGGATGGAGTGGGAGGGAGGGAGAGAGGAAGGGAAGGAGGGAATGGAAGAGAGAGCAGCTGAGGAGAGCGAGGGGGGGTGGGACACAGGCAGGGGACACAGGAGAAGGGAGAGGAAGGCTGAGACAGTGAAAAGAGAGGGAGAGAGAGGTGTTGAGCAAGAAAGAGAGAGAGGGGCGAGGGGGAATTAAATAGAGAGAGTGTGATATGAGAGAGAAAAAGAGATGGTTAAAAAAAGAGCCAGATAGAGAGGAAGGATGAAAGAGAGGGTGAAAGAAAGAAACAAGAGCGAGAGTGCACCGAGAAACGACAAAGGGAGCTTTGAGCTCTGGCGAGGAATAATGAATCATGAATACATTTAGCAGTATCTGCTCTTATTTCCTCTCTTCCCAGCCCTAGTCGTGTGCCATTACTCTCCACCTTTTCTCCTGTGCTGCTGCCATTAATTGAGCCATCGCAGTCACTCGCTGTCTCCAGGAGTCACGAGTCCCTTTAGCTTCTACTGATCAGGGAGGGATGTGTATAGGAGAGGATTTGGAGGGAATGGGCCGGCTGCCAACAAGGCTACTGATACTAACTGATCTGATACTATCTATCTGTGTGTGTGTTCTGTCTGCCCCTCCCTTCCTGCCGTGGAGATGGTGATCAGTGATCGGCCATGGCATTATGGTGGCTTTAGACTGGAACACAGCTAACGGAGCACAGCATAACCTGTCTGCCTCACTGGGAGAAAGATACTGTATGTAGGACAACTGAAGGATTGGTAGACTGGGGTTACATATTCAGTGATATACAGTATATGTCGGCAGCAATACAGTCATGTCAACACGTGATGTTTTAGGTCTGCAGACTGCTAGTTATATATTCCATGCTATACGTTCTCAGAAGTCTCATGGATATACGTCCAAAAGAAGCCTCAGTACAGGGGTTTGAATATGCAGTGATATACAGTGCATTCGGAAAGTATTCAGACCCCTTCCCTTTTTCCACATTTTCTTACATTACAGCCTAAAATTGATTAAATAAATGTTTTTCCTCATCAATATACACAATACCCCATAATTACAAAACGGAAACAGGTTTTTAGAAATGTTTGCAAAACATGTTTGAAATGTTTGAAAAACAGAAATACCTTATTTACATAAGTATTCAGACCCTTTGCTATGAGACTCGAAATTGAGCTCCGGTGCATCCTGTTTCCATTGATCATCCTTGAGATGTTTCTACAACTTGATTGGAGTCCACCTGTGGTAAATTCAATTGATTGGACATGATTTGGAAAGGCACACACCTGTCTATATAAGGTCCCACAGTTGACAGTGCATGTCAGAGCAAAAACCAAGCCATGATGTTGAAGGAATTGTCCGTAGAGCTCAGAGAAATATCTGCAACATTGAAGGTCCCCAAGAACACAGTGGCCTCATTCATTCTTAAATGGAAGAAGTTTGGAACCACCAAGACTCTTCCTAGAGCTGGCCGCCAGGCCAAACTGAGCAATCAGGGAAGAAGGGCTTTGGTCAGGGAGGTGACCAAGAACCCGATGGTCACTATGACAGATCTCCAGAGTTCACTGTGGAGATGGAAGAACCTTCCAGAAGGACTACCATCTCTGCAGCACTCCACCAATCAGGCCTTTATGGTAGAGTGGCCAGACGGAAGCCACTCCTCAGTAAAAGGCACATGACAGCCCACTTGGAGTTTGCCAAAAGGCACCTAAAGGACTCTCAGACCATGAGAAACAAGATTCTCTGGTCTGATGAAACCAAGATTGAACTCTTTGGCCTGAATGCCAAGCATCACGTCTGGAGGAAACCTGGCACCATCCTTACGGTGAAGCATGGTGGTGGCAGCACTGTGCTTTGGGGATGTTTTTCATTGGCAGGGACTGGGAGACTAGTTAGGATCGAGGGAAAGATAAATAGAGCAAAGTACAGAGAGATCCTTGATGAAAACCTGCTCCAGAGCGCTCAGGACCTCAGATTGGGCCGAATGTTCACCTTCCAACAGGACAACGACCCTAAGCACACAGCCAAGACAACACAGGAGTGGCTTCGGGACAAGTCTCTGAATGTCCATTAGTGGCCCAGCCAGAGCCCGGACTTGAACCCGATCGAACATCTCTGGAGAGACCTGAAAATAGTCCTGTGTAGCCTCAGTTGGTAGAGCATGGCGCTTGCAATGCCAGGGTTGTGGGTTCGATTCCCACGGGGGGGCAGTATGAAAATGTATGCACTCACTAACTGTAAGACGCTCTGGATAAGAGCGTCTGCTAAATGACTAAAATGTAAAATAGCTGTGCAGCGACGCTCCCCATCCAACCTGACAGAGCTTGAGAGGATCTGCAGAGAAGAATGAGAGAAACTCCCCAGATACAGGTGTGCCAAGCTTATAGCGTCATACCCAAGAAGACTCAAGGCTGTAATCACTGCCAAAGGTACTTCAACAAAGTGCTGCGTAAAGGGTCTGAATACTTATGTAAATGTGATATTTCCGTTTTTTATTTGTAATACATTTGCTTTGTCATTATGGGGTATTGTGTGTAGAGTGATGAGGGAAAAAAAACAATATAATCAATTTTAGAATAAGGATGTAAAGTAACAAAATGTGGAAAAAGTCAAGGGTTCTGAATACTTTCCGAATGCACTATACGTAGGTCTGCAGAAGGCTAGTTACATTTTACAGTGAGGGAAAAAAGTATTTGATCCCCTGCTGATTTTGTACATTTGCCCACTGACAAAGAAATTATCAGTCTATAATTTTAATGGTAGGTTTATTTGAACAGTGAGAAACAGAATAACAACAAAAAAATCCAGAAAAATGCATGTCAGAAATGTTATAAATTGATTTGCATTTAAATGAGGGAAATAAGTATTTGACCCCTCTGCAAAACATGACTTAGTACTTGGTGGCAAAACCCTTGTTGGCAATCACAGAGGTCAGACGTTTCTTGTAGTTGGCTACCAGGTTTACACACATCTCAGGAGGGATTTTGTCCCACTCCTCTTTGCAGATCTTCTCCAAGTCATTAAGGTTTCGAGGCTGACATTTGGCAACTCGAACCTTCAGCTCCCTCCACAGATGTTCTACGGGATTAAGGTCTGGAGACTGGCTAGGCCACTCTAGTACCTTAATGTGCTTCTTCTTGAGCCACTCCTTTGTTGCCTTGGCCGTGTGTTCTGGGTCATTGTCATGCTGGAATATCCATCCACGACCCATTTTCAATGCCCTGGCTGAGGGAAAGAGGTTCTCACCCAAGATTTGACGGTACATGGCCCCGTCAATCGTCCCTTTTGATGCGGTGAAGTTGTCCTGTCCCCTTAGCAGAAAAACACCCCCAAAGCATAATGTTTCCACCTCCATGTTTGACGGTGGGGATGGTGTTCTTGGGGTCATAGCCAGCATTCCTCCACATCCAAACTTTGCGAGTTGAGTTGATGCCAAAGAGCTCCATTTTGGTCTCATCTGACCACAACACTTTCACCCAGTTCTCCTCTGAATCATTCAGATGTTCATTGGCAAACTTCAGACGGGCATGTATATGTGCTTTCTTAAGCAGGGGGACCTTGCGGGTGCTGCAGGATTTCAGTCCATCACGGCGTAGTTTGTTACCAATTGTTTTCTTGGTGACTATGGTCCCAGCTGCCTTGAGATCATTTACAAGATCCTCCCGTGTAGTTCTGGGCTGATTCCTCACCGTTCTCATGATCATTGCAACTCCACGAGGTGAGATCTTGCATGGAGCCCCAGGCCGAGGGAGATCGAGTAATTGATCTGCATGGAGCCCCAGGCATCGAGTAATTGTCTCTGGCCCCCTCCCAGTTAGGGGAAGTGACGAGCTCTACAGCAGAGTCTCAGCACTCAATCGCTGGTTGAAAACTGTTTTCTGCCCCTCCCAAAAGATAACATTTGTGGATAATTGGCCCTCTTTCTGGGACTCACCCACAAACAGGACCAAGCCTGACCTGCTGAGGAGTGACGGACTCCATCCTAGCTGGAAGGGTGCTCTCCTCTTATCTACCAACATAGATAGGGCTCTAACTCCTCTAGCCCCACAGTGAAATAGGGTGCAGGCCAGGCAGCAGGCTGTTAGCCAACCTGCCAGCTTAGTGGAGTCTGCCAATAGCACAGTCAGTGTAGTCAGCTCAGCCATACCCATTGAGACTGTGTCTGTGCCTCGACCTAGGTTGGGCAAAACTAAACATGGCGGTGTTCACCCTAGCAATCTTATTAGGATAAAGACCTCCTCCATTCCTGCCATTATTGAAAGAGATCGTGATACCTCACATCTCAAAATAGGGTTACTTAATGTTAGATCCCTCACTTCAAAGGCAGTCATAGTCAATGAACTAATCACTGATCATAATCTTGATGTGATTGGCCTGACTGAAACATGGCTTAAGCCTGATGAATTTGCTGTGTTAAATGAGGCCTCACCTCCTGGTTACACTAGTGACCATATTCCCCGTGCATCCCGCAAAGGCGGAGGTGTTGCTAACATTTACGATAGCAAATTTCAATTTACAAAAAAAAAAATGGCGTTTTCGTCTTTTGAGCTTCTAGTCATGAAATCTATGCAGCCTACTCAATCACTTTTTATAGCTACTGTTTACAGGCCTCCTGGGCCATATACAGCGTTCCTCTCTGAGTTTCCTGAATTCCTATCAGACCTTGTAGTCATAGCAGATCATATTCTAATTTTTGGTGATTTTAATATTCACATGGAGAAGTCCACAGACCCACTCCAAAAGTCTTTCGGAGCCATCATCGACTCAGTGGGTTTTGTCCAACATGTCTCTGGACCTACTCACTGCCACAGTCATACTCTGGACCTAGTTTTGTCCCATGGAATAAATGTTGTAGATCTTAATGTTTTTCCACAAAATCCTGGACTATCGGACCACCATTTTATTACGTTTGCAATCGCAACAAATAATCTGCTCAGACCCCAACCAAGGAGCATCAAAAGTCGTGCTATAAATTCTCAGACAACACAAAAATTCCTTGATGCCCTTCCAGACTCCTTCTGCCTACCCAAGGACGTCAGAGGACAAAAATCAGTTAACCACTTAACTGAGGAACTCAATTTAACCTTGCGCAATACCCTAGATGCAGTTGCACCCCTAAAAACGAAAAACATTTGTCATAAGAAACTAGCTCCCTGGTATACAGAAAATACCCGAGCTTTGAAGCAAGCTTCCAGGAAATTGGAACGGAAATGGCGCCACACCAAACTGGAAGTCTTCCGACTAGCTTGGAAAGACAGTACCGTGCAGTACCGAAGAGCCCTCACTGCTGCTCGATCATCCTACTTTTCCAACTTAATCGAGGAAAATAAGAACAATCCAAAATTTCTTTTTGATACTGTTGCAAAGCTAACTAAAAAGCAGCATTCCCCAAGAGAGGATGGCTTTCACTTCAGCAGTAATAAATTCATGAACTTCTTTGAGGAAAAGATCATGACCATTAGAAAGCAAATTACGGACTCCTCTTTGAATCTGCGTATTCCTCCAGGGCTTAGCTGTCCTGGATCTGCACAGCTCTGCGAGGGCCTGGGATCGGGAGAGACACTTAAGTGTTTTAGTACTATATCTCTTGACACAATGATGAAAATAATCATGGCCTCTAAACCTTCAAGCTGCATACTGGATCCTATTCCTACTAAACTGCTGAAGGAGCTGCTTCCTGTGCTTGGCCCTCCTATGTTGAACATAATAAACAGCTCTCTATCCACCGGATGTGTACCAAACTCACTAAAAGTGGCAGTGATAAAGCCTCTCTTGAAAAAGCCAAACCTTGACCCGGAAAATATAAAAAACTATCGGCCTATATCGAATCTTCCATTCCTCTCAAAAATTTTAGAAAAAGCTGTTGCGCAGCAACTCACTGCCTTTCTGAAGACAAACAATGTATACGAAATGCTTCAGTCTGGTTTTAGACCCCATCATAGCACTGAGACTGCACTTGTGAAGGTGGTAAATGACCTTTTAATGGCGTCAGACCGAGGCTCTGCATCTGTCCTCGTGCTACTAGACCTTAGTGCTGCCTTTGACACCATCGATCACCACATTCTTTTGGAGAGACTGGAAACCCAAATTGGTCTACACGGACAAGTTCTGGCCTGGTTTAGATCTTACCTGTCGGAAAGATATCAGTTTGTCTCTGTGAATGGTCTGTCCTCCGACAAATCAACTGTACATTTCGGTGTTCCTCAAGGTTCCGTTTTAGGACCACTATTGTTTTCACTATATATTTTACCTCTTGGGGATGTTATTCGAAAACATAATGTTAACTTTCACTGCTATGCGGATGACACACAGCTGTACATTTCAATGAAACATGGTGAAGCCCCAAAATTGCCCTCGCTAGAAGCCTGTGTTTCAGACATAAGGAAGTGGATGGCTGAAAACGTTCTACTTTTAAACTCGGACAAAACAGAGATGCTTGTTCTAGGTCCCAAGAAACAAAGAGATCTTCTGTTAAATCTGACAATTCATCTTGATGGTTGTAAAGTCGTCTCAAATAAAACTGTGAAGGACCTCAGCGTTACTCTTGACCCTGATCTCTCTTTTGACGAACATATCAAGACTGTTTCAAGGACAGCTTTTTTCCATCTACGTAACATTGCAAAAATCAGAAATCTTCTGTCCAAAAATGATGCAGAAAAATTAATCCATGCATTTGTTACTTCTAGGTTAGACTACTGCAATGCTCTACTTTCCGGCTACCCGGATAAAGCACTAAATAAACTTCAGTTAGTGCTAAATACGGCTGCTAGAATCCTGACTAGAACCAAGAAATTTGATCATATTACTCCAGTGCTAGCTTCCCTACACTGGCTTCCTGTTAAGGCAAGGGCTGATTTCAAGGTTTTACTGTTAACCTATAAAGCGTTACATGGGCTTGCTCCTACCTATCTTTCCGAGTTGGTCCTGCCGTACATACCAATACGTACGCTACGGTCACAAGACGCAGGCCTCCTAATTGTCCCTAGAATTTCTAAGCAAACAGCGGGAGGCAGGGCTTTCTCCTATAGATCTCCATTTTTATGGAACAGTCTGCCTACCCATGTGAGAGACGCAGACTCGGTCTCAACCTTTAAGTCTTTACTGAAGACTTATCTCTTCAGTAGGTCATATGATTGAGTGTAGTCTGGCCCAGGAGTGTGAAGGTGAACGGAAAGGCTCTGGAGCAACGAACAGCCCTTGCTGTCTCTGCCAGGCCGGTTCCCCTCTCCACTGGGGTTCTCTGCCTCTAACCCTGTTGCAGGGGCTGAGTCACTGGCTTGCTGGTGCTCTTTCATGCCGTCCCTGGGAGGGGTGCGTCACTTGAGTGGGTTGAGTTACTGACGTGATCTTCCTGTCTGGGTTGGCGCCCCCCCTTGGTTTGTGCTGTGGTGGAGACCTCTGTGGGCTATACTCGGCCTTGTCTCAGGATTGTAAGTTGGTGGTTGGGGATATCCCTCTAGTGGTGCGGGGGCTGTGCTTTGGCAGAGTGGGTGGGGTTATATCCTTCCTGTTTGGCCCTGTCCGGGGGTTTCTTCGGATGGGGCCACAGTGTCTCCGGACCGCTCCTGTCTCAGCCTCCAGTATTTATGCTGCAGTAGTTTATGTGTCGGGGGGCTGGGGTTAGTTGGTTATACCTGGAGTACTTCTCCTGTCTTATCCAGTGTCCTGTGTGAATTTAAGTATGCTCTCTCTAATTCTCTCGTTCTCTCTTTCTCTCTGAGAACCTGAGCCCTAGGACCATACGTCAGGACTACCGGGCATGATGACACCTTGCTGTCCCCAGTCCGCCTGGCCTTGCTGCTATTCCAGTTTCAACTGTTCTGCCTGCGGTTACGAAACCCCTACCTGTCCCAGACCTGCTGTTTTCAACTCTTAATGATCGGCTATGAAAAGCCAACTGAGAGACCTGAGCCCTAGGACCATACGTCGGGACTACCGGCCGTGGTGACTCCTTGCTGTCCCCAGTCCGCCTGGCCTTGCTGCTATTCCAGTTTCAACTGTTCTGCCTGCGGTTATGGAACCCCTACCTGTCCCAGACCTGCTGTTTTCAACTCTTAATGATCGGCTATGAAAAGCCAACTGAGATTTATTCCTGATTATTATTTGACCATGCTTGTCACTTATGAACATTTTTGAACATCTTGGCATGGTTCTGTTATAATCTCCACCCGGCACAGCCAGAAGAGGACTGGCCACCCCTCATAGCCTGGTTCCTCTCTAGGTTTCTTCCTAGGTTTTCGCCTTTCTAGGGAGTTTTTTCCTAGCCACCGTGCTTCTACACCTGCATTACTAGCTGTTTGGGGTTTTAGGCTGGGTTTCTGTACAGCACTTCGAGATATTAGCTGATGTAAGAAGGGCTATATAAAATAAAATTGATTGATTGACAGTTATTTTGTGTTTCTTCCATTTGCGAATAACCGCACCAACTGTTGTCACCTTCTCACCAAGCTACTTGGCGATGGTCTTGTAGCCCATTCCAGCCTTGTGTAGGTCTACAATCTTGTCCCTGACATCCTTGGAGAGCTCTTTGGTCTTGGCCATGGTGGAGAGTTTGGAATCTGATTGATTGATTGCTTCTGTGGACAGGTGTCTTTTGAACAGGTAACAAGCTGAGATTAGAAACACTCCCTTTAAGAGTGTGCTCCTAATCTCAGCTCGTTACCTGTATAAAAGACACCTGGGAGCCTGTCACGACTTCCGCCGAGGCTGCCCCCCCCCCCCCCCCCCCCCCCCGCCCCCCCCCCCCCCCCCCCCCCCAGGCTTCGGCGTTCGTCGTCACCGGAGTACTAGCTACTGCCGATCCCATTCTCATCACACCAGGTGCTCATTCCCCTAATTAGTATGTGTATAAGTGTTCCCTCTGTTCCCCTTGTCTTCGTGAGTGATTGTTTTGTTGTGAGAGCGTGTAGCTCGGTTGAGCTACATTTCACTGTGTTATTGCCAAGGTGGATGTTTTCCCTTGTACAGTTTCGTTTGACGCTTGGGGCGTTTGATTTATGCAAACGGATTAAACTCTGGACTTCGGTATTTTACCTCTTGCGCATTACTTCTTCTTTCACACCTCGTCACAGAATCACTCACCTGATCTGATATGGAGTCAGCAGGAGAGGACCGCATGCCTGGAGTTGTGGCAAGGGTGTTGGCCAGCTTGGGGGAAGCGATGGATCGGGTTCTTCAGCTGGTAGAACGCCTGGAGAGGAGAGGAGAGGATCCGATCTATCGAGACCAGCTGGTCAACCGGATCCAGCCACCTACACCCCAGCCCCTGGAGGGATCCAGATATACTGGCCACCGGCGTTTGATGGGACTGCAGCGCGATGTAAGGGATTCCTACTCCAACTGGAGTTGTATTTCTCCAGCATCAGGCCAGAGCCCCGGGAGCGGGAGAAAGTATCCGTCTTCGTTTCCTGCCTTTGTGGGAGAGCCCTGGAGTGGGCCAACATGGTGTGGAACGAGGGAGGTACCGCGTTGGAGAACTATTGGGAGTTTGCTCGACCTGAGGGTCGAGAGGCGGGCGAACGACTGGTTCATCTGAGGCAAGGGACGAGGACCGCTCAGGACTACGCGCTGGAGTTCCGGACGCTGGCAGCGGGGTCCGGGTGGAATGAGCGGGCCCTGATAGACCATTTCCGGTGCCACCTAAGGGAGGACGTCCGAAGGGAGCTAGCCTGCCGTGATGCCATGCTATCGTTCTCCCAACTGGTGGACATGGCCATCTGGGTGGACAATCTGCTAGCAGCCAGAGGACATCCTGGTAGGGGTCTGCCCGTTCCCACTCCGGACGACTCTGACCCCAAGCAGATGGAGCTGGTGTGATCCGCCGGTCGAGAGAGCGCAGGAGGACAGCGACAGTGCCACTCTGGTGGCACGAAGGGACAATCCACCTCACGTCGCAGTCAATGTTCTTTCGGGTCTGGAGGCAGTAGGCAGGGTACTCACGCATCACCCCAGGTAACGAACACCCAAATGTGTTCAGAGCCCTTTGCAGTGCATTGTACTTTATCGATCTCCTTTCCCGATCACTTGGTAGGTTCCCAGTGTAAGGCGCTAGTCGATTCAGGCGCAGCTGGGAATTTTATGGACAGGGCATTTGCATACCGTCAAGGCTTTTCATTGGTTCCCCTAACCATTCCACTCCCCATCAGAGCACTAGATAGTCGACCATTAGGGTCCGGGTTGGTTAAGGAAGTTACGGTACCAGTCACCATGATTACGCAGGAGACACATGTTGAGCAGATCACCTTTATGATTATTGAGTCTCCTGCTTACCCTGTAGTCTTGGGTATCCCGTGGTTAGCCCTTCACAACCCCAATTTCTCATAGCCGCAGAGGGTTCTTACGGGGTGGTCGCGTGAGTGTCCGGGTAGGTGTCTAGGTGTTTACGTTGGTGCGACCCCACCGTGCGCATTCCCCCCAAATACCATGATCTGGCGCTCGCGTTTTCCAAGACGCAAGCGACTAAATTACCACCTCATCGGGAGGGGGATTGCGCGATAAACCTTCGGGTAGACGCTGTATCTCCCAGGAGTCATGTGTATCCCCTGTCGCAGGCTGAAACGGAGGCTATGGAAATATTCGTCACTGAGCCCCTGTGACAGGGGTTTATACGTCCCTCCACTTCACCTGCCTCCTCGAGTTTCTTCTTTGTGAAGAAGAAAGATGGCGGTTTACGCCCGTGCATTGATTATCGACCACTGAATAATGTGATGGTACGATTTAGTTATCCTCTTCCCCTCATTCCTTCAGTGATTGAGTCAATGCATGGGGCCCGTTTTTTCACCAAATTAGACCTCAGGAGTGCCTACAACCTGGTGCGTATTCGGGAAGGGGATGAGTGGAAAACAGCATTCAGCACAACGGGGCATTATGAATACCTGGTGATGCCCTACGGTTTGATGAATGCTCCATCCGTTATCCAGTCGTTGGTGAACGAGGTGTTTCGGGACATGCTTGGTCGTGGTGTGTTGGTCTACATTGATGACATCCTGGTGTATTCCGCTACGCGCGCCAAACATGTGTCCCTGGTTCGCAAAGTACTGGTCCGTCTGCTGAAAAATGATCTTTATGCCAAGGCAGAGAAGTGTGAGTTTTTCCAGCAGTCAATCTCCTTCCTCGGATATCGCATTACCACCACAGGTGTGGAGATGGAGGGAGACCGCATTGCAGCCGTGCGTAATTGGCAGACTCCAACCACGGCGAAGGTGGTGCAGCACTTCCTTGGCTTTGCCAACTACTATCGAAGGTTTATTCAGGGCTTTGGCAAGGTCGCAGCTCCCATTACCTCCTTGTTGAAGGGTGGGCCGTCCCGGCTCCGCTAGTCTGCTGAGGCTGATTTGGCATTTTTGGGGGGTACTGTCACGACTTCCGCCGAGGCTGCCCCCCCTCCTGGTTCGGGCAGTCTTCGACGTTCGTCGTCACCGGAGTACTAGCTACTGCCGATCCCATTCTCATCACTCCACTTGTCATGTCTTGTCAATCACACACACCTGGTGCTCATTCCCCTAATTAGTATGTGTATAAGTGTTCCCTCTGTTCCCCTTGTCTTTGTGAGTGATTGTTTTGTTGTGAGAGCGTGTAGCTCGGTTGAGCTACATTTCACTGTGTTATTGCCAAGGTGGATGTTTACCCTTGTATAGTTTTGTTTGACGGTTGGGGCGTTTGATTTATGCAAACGGATTAAACTCTGGACTTCGGTATTTTACCTCCTGCGCCTGACTCCTTCTTTCAAACCTCGTCACAGAGCCAGAAATCTTTCTGATTGAGAGGGGGTCAAATACTTATTTCCCTCATTAAAATGCAAATCAATTTATAACGTTTTTGACATGCGTTTTTCTGTATTTTGTTGTTGTTATTCTGTCTCTCACTGTTCAAATAAACCTACCATTAAAACTATAGACTGATCATTTCTTTGTCAGTGGGCAAACGTACAGAATCAGCAGGTGATCAAATACTTTTTTCCCTCACTGTATATTCAGTGATGTTATATACTTTATTCAAGGATAATGGCCTACAAGGCATGCTGCTCATAGTTCAACTGTATATATTCAGTAAGGTCTAGAAGGCTCAGTGGATATAGTAAGTGATAATGGCCTACAGAAGGCTAGTTATATATTCAGTGCTAGGCCTACAGAAGTGTGTGTGTGTGCGTGTTAGCGATCGTGAATTTGCCCAAGGTGTGGATATGCTGGATACAAGGATAAGGTTTAATAGACAAACAATGGACAGACATATTTATATGGGGAGCCAGACACGTTCCTCTGAATCTGGCGCAGAGTGAAGGACAAACGTCTCGTTATATGCTCATTCGTTATCTGTTTGTTCCCTCAGTGCCAGATCCAGACCATAACAACAGTCAGTTGGGTCAGAGTGAACCATACATTATTCGATTGGACGGCATTTAGCTGAGTAGTGTTTGTGTGTGTGAGCAAGAGAAAGAGAGCGAATGAGAGGGTTTCACAAAATGTGTGTGTTCTAGTGTCTGCATAATAAGTGTGTGTGTGTGTGTGTTTGCTCGCTCATGCCTAATTGCTGCTAGCTGTCTGCCCAGTGCATGTTTCTATGTTTCTGTGTGTACATATAATGCATATTAATACGTAGCCTCGGCTGTTTGTGCTTAGCTGGCATTATAACCTGAATCCAGAGCTGTGTGTGTGGTAGAGAGATGAAGATGGGCTTTGCTTTAATGCCTTCATTTCCAACACACTGATTTGCCTGTAATAGGATTGGGTCTCTCTCTCTCTCTCCCCTCTTTCTCACCACCATCACCACCACCTCCTCCTCTCCTGTCCTCCCTCCATCCTTTAATCCAGGCTTGATCTTAGTGGGTTCAGTGCTTTTTTCTCTGTTTATTTAAAGAGCTGGATTAGGATGGGGGGTGTATGTGGGTCAGCTGGAGGAGGCTTTGGACGGGTCAAACTTTGGACGGGTCCCTCGGTGTGTGTGTGTGTGCGCACAGTATGTGTGTGTGTGAGCACTGATGTGTGCAACCCCTCTTTGCACATGTTATAGCATGTGCTCTCTGTGTGTGTGTGTGTGTGTGTCTTTTATGTATGTGTGGATGCATGTGTAACAGAGCTCATTTGTGAATAATGAGGCAGAGAGAGAGTGATGTAACCATGTTGGAATGAGAGAGAGAGTGATTCATTCCCAGGGAGCTAGCCTTTTAGCCTAATGGGTTTGTCACTCGATCAAAAGGCCTCTGAGTAGCTACAGATGCCCATGCTTGGGGTTTGTGTGTGAACGAGGGTGTGTGTGAGCCAATCTGTATGTGTATGCGTGTGAGTGCATCTGTGTGCGTGTCTAGAGGTGACGGCACACATGCATGCCTGTTCATATATGTGTGTGAGACTGAAAGCATGAACTAACGTCTGTGTTCGCCTGCGTGTGTGTCAGTGTGTGTCTGTGTTCGCCTGCGTGTGTGTGTCTGTGTTTGCTTTGTGTGTGTAGATCCCCAACGGTGAACGGTACGCTCCAGTGCCTTTCAGACACAAATAAAAATGAGTTGTGTGTGTGCTTCCACAGTGTGTGTATGTGTACTGCCATCTTGTGTGTGTGTGTGTGTGTGGCCAGTGTATGGGACTAGTTGTGTACTGTATAATTGCTTTGTGGTGGACAGGAGTTTAAAGCTGTAGCGGTCTGTCAGCCCAAGCTGGTAAGCTGGCAAGCTGGCAGTGTGTGAATATGAATGTCAGAGTAATGGGTAAGCGCATTATATTGCTGGGGAGCCTAAGAGAGATATTGTTAAAAATAACCCTGACTCTGGGACTCAGGCAGAAATTTGCCCGCAGGACTGCGTTTTCACAGATGCCCCGTAAAGGCTTCTCTTTGTCTGCTTAAGAGCCGCTGTATGTGTGTTGTGTGTGTATTTTATGTGTGTGTGTGTGTGTTCTTGTGTGTGTGATTTGTACGTGGGTGTGTGTGTGCACATGCATGAATGAGAGTGTTGTATGTATTTTTCTGTTTATTTGACAGAGCCTCTATATCTGGTTTAGTAAGAGAGGGAGGGAGTGTGTTTGTGTGTGCGTTTTTAAGTTTCAAGTTGTATTAGTCATATGTACAGGATACACGTGTGTGTGTGTGTGTGTTTGTGGCGGGGGCTGTCTGTGTTTCTGTGTCTTAATGCGCCATGCCTCTCATGGTGGGGCTCTGTTGCTTTTCTAAGAGCATTTAAATATTTTTTGTGTCAATATCTGTGTGTGTGTGCTCTGTTCTGCTCTGTTTGTTTGTTTTTCATTGTGCGTGTGTGTTTGCTTGTGTGTGTGTGTGTGTGTGTGCTTTACTGCTCTCCTTTCCTCTTTCCCTCTCTCTGGGTTTCTCTTCCTCCTCTTCCCAAATAGAGGGGCCATCAATCAGAGTGGAGAGAGGGGGGCTGCTGGCTCAGCGCCAGGAAGAGAGGCTGGCACTCTGCCCGGAGGAGAGGAGAGGAGAGGAGAGGAGAGGAGAGGAGAGGAGAGGAGAGGAGAGGAGAGGAGAGGAGAGGAGAGGAGAGGAGAGGAGAGGGGAGGGGAGGGGAGAGAGAGAGACCAAGTGAACAGAGGGAAGAGAGAGAATAGGGGCGATAGACAAGGGAGGAAGAGATCAGTTATTTTATTGAATACCTCTGTGGCTGTGACCACAATCAGTGGCTGATTAGTGCAGCACGGGTTACTAATATTTGCCTTCAAGTGTTTGCAGAGAGAGGAGAGCAGTTCCATTAGGCAGTAAGGGGTGGGAGATAAGGCTAGACTAGGGCTGGCTGGCCTGGGTGTCTCTCTCTCTCTCTCGTGCGCTGCTACAGGGCTGATGGGGACTAGGGGGACTGCTGAAGGCGCGCAAGCACACACTGAGATACACACATGCAGGCAGGCACGCACACACAAACACATCAAATTAAATACTCACACACACACCCATATCTGCACACACACACCACACACTCTCACCCAGAACAGCCGCACTGGGGCTCAGGGAAAGACACAGCTGGCAGTGCCCAAATACACCGGGCACCATCACCCCCCCCCCAATCCTCACTATGCGAACCTAGCCGAGCCCACACCATTCACATTCAATTTCACAACGCTTTCTTAGCAAAGCTTTTGCATCATGTTATAAAGTAAATGCTCCAGGAAAGCTTAATGCAGCTTGTCTATGTCATACCAATGATCCACTTAGTTTCAGAGTATCAGTAATGACTCCTGTGTTTCAGCTCACTGTATCAATTATTACCCTGAAATGATCTTATGATGGGGGAGCACGCTGAGTAAAGCTATTCAGACTGTGTGTGTGTGTGTGTAGGGCAGTGACAGACTGATGTGTTCCACAGCCTCCAGAGCACTGTGTCCTTGTCCTCCCTCTCATCCATCCATCTTCCTCCCTCATTTTGGAGGAATTGACGGTGATTTGCTGCTATGTTCTAAATGTAGCCTAAGATAGACAAACATCCTCTCCCCTGCCCTCTCCTCTCCTCTCCTCCTCATCTCTCCCTCTTTCCGCCAGACAAAGAGGCAGCAGTGTTCTGTTGGCAGACTATTTATCCTCAGGTGTTTATTGACCAGCCCTCTCCTCCTCCTTTGTATCCATCCATCCACCCATCCCTCCATCCACAGCCCTGCCAAAACTCCCTTATGCACTCTTTTGGCAGAGCTCTCCCCAACAAGTCCATGTTGTTGTTGCTGACACCTGGCCTACGCTGGAGGAAGAGAGAGGGAGAAAGAGATGAGGGGGAGGAAGCAGTGCTGAGCTCTGTTTGAAGTAGGCTGCCAAGACTCAGGTCTGACAGATCTAGGATCAGTTGCAGCCATGGTTGTGTTGTTGGTGAGAGCAGAGGCAGGTCATCTGCACTGATCTGGAATCAGACTCCTGGGTTGGCTGCCTGGTTGAGGGAGTCCAGTGGCTGCAGCCTACTCTCAGAACAGCTCATTGCTAGTCAACAACTCAATGATTGTAGTTTCTCGGTCTAGCTGCATGTATTAATGTTACACAGTATCAATACAGTCCAGTGAGAATACCCCCCCTACCCCCCCTCATAGCCCCTTTACAGGCTTTCACTAAGCAACACAACATTAGTTATTTATCAATACTGAATGTCTCTCTCTCTCCCCCCACTCACTCCCTGTTTTCTCTCTCTTTCACTTTCTCTCTCTCACTTTCACAAGCACACACACACACTCCAATCGGCACGCACACAAGCCCACATTATATCATTAGCTAGGTTTTCTCTCTCTCCTTCGAACGGAGCGCTGTATCTATCAGAGAGCTGTGTTGTATAATTTGGCCTTGTGTTGAGATGGGGCTGGCTGTTTCTGACAGGCGTGTGAGTGTATAAGACCCTGTCAGTCACTGTCCTCTCCTCTCCTTTGTCTCCCTCTGTGTGTCAGAAACATGTGTTAGAGTGGCGTAATGGAGGGACACAAATAGATAGAGAGCCATCAAGGAAGGAGTGCGGGAGGGAGGGAGGGAGGAAGGAGAGAGATGATGGGAGGAAAAGGATGAATAGGGTAATAATGGCTCAGTGGGAAGGCTGTTAAAGAGGGAGAGAACGCCTGAGTGAAGAAGACAACAGAATGAGGCTCCGTGTGTGTGTGTGTGTGTGTGTGTGTGTGTGTGTGTGTGTGTGTGTGTGCATGTACACATGCATTTGTGTACATTATGTATTGACATGTTGTGTGTTTGTGTTGTGTGTTTGTTAGGCTCCATGTGTAGAAGACATCATTCGATGTTCTCACCTAGAAAGAGCATTTTCAATGGGCCTGGGCAAGTGAGAGAAAATTGATGAAAGAATAGCATTGAATGCAGTGAGGAGGAGAGAGGTTGAGAGAGCTAAATGAGAAAGGGAGGGTGTTGAAAGGCCATATGAAAACTGGAGCCTAATAACACAGCTGGCCTTTAAAAGCCTCTCTCTCCCTCTCACTCTTTCTCTCTCACTCATTTTCTCTTACTATCTCTCTCTTTCTCTTGCGGCCTCTTACTCGTTCTGTCTCTCTCTCTCTCAATCGCTCGCTCTCTCTCTCTCTCTCTCAATTCATTTCAATTTCAATTTAAGGGCTTTATTGGCATGGGAAACATGTTTACATTGCCAAAGCAAGTGAAGTAGATAATAAACAAAAGTGAAATAAACAATAAAAAATGTTGGGTCTAATTGTTGGGTCTAATTGTGTTGCTGTCCTGGGGTCTGTTTGTGTTTGTGAACAGAGCCCCAGGACCAGCTTGCTTAGGGGACTCTTCTCCAGGTTAATCTCTCTGTAGGTGATGGCTTTGTTATGGAAGGTTTGGGAATCACTTCCTTTTAGGTGGTTGTAGAATTTAACGGCTCTTTTCTGGATTTTGATAATTTGCGGGTATCGGCTTAATTCTGCTCTGTATGCATTATTTGGTGTTTTTGCAGAATTCTGCATGCAGAGTCTCAATTTGGTGTTTGTCCCATTTTGTGAATTCTTTGTTGGTGAGCGGACCCCAGACCTCACAACCATAAAGGGCAACTGATTCAAGTATTTTTTTAGCCAGATCCTAATTGGTATGTCGAATTTTATGTTCCTTTTGATGGCATAGAAGGCCCTTCTTGCCTTGTCTCTCAGATCTTTCAAAGCTTTGTGGAAGTTACCTTTGGTGCTGATTGTTTAGGCCGAGGTATGTATAGTTTTTTGTGTGCTCTAGGGAAACGGTGTCTAGATGGAATTTGTATTTGTGGTCCTGGCAACTGGACCTTTTTTGGAACACCATTATTTTTGTCTTACTGAGATTTACTCTCAGGGTCCAGGTTTGACAGAATCTGAGCAGAAGATCTAGGTGCTGCTTTAGGCCCTCCTTGGTTGGGGACAGAAGGACCAGATCATTAGCAAACAGTAGACATTTGACTTCAGATTCTAGTAGGGTGAGGCCGGGTGCTGCAGACTGTTCTAGTGCCCTCGCCAATTCGTTGATATATATGTTGAAGAGGGTGGGGCTTAATCTGCATCCTTGTCTCACCCCATGGCCCTGTGGAAAGAGATGTGTGTGTTTTTTGCCAATTTTAACCGCACACTTGTTGTTTGTTTACATGGATTTTATAATGTTGTATGTTTTTCCCCCAACACCACTTTCCATCAATTTGTATAGCAGACCCTCATGCCAAATTGAGTCAAAAGCTTTTTTGAAATCAACAAAGCATGAGAAGACTTTGCCTTTGTTTTGGTTTGTTTGTTTGTCAATTAGGGTGTGCAGGGTGAATACGTGGTCTGTCGTACAGTAATTTGGTGAAAAGCCAATTTGACATTTGCTCAGTACATTGTTTTCGTGAGGAAATGTACGAGTCTGCTGTTAATGATAATGCAGAGGATTTTCCCAAGGTTGCTGTTGATGCATATCCCACGGTAGTTATTGGGGTCAAAGATTGGGGTGATCAGTCTTTGGTTCCAAATATTGGGGAAGATGCCAGAGCTAAGGATGACGTTAAAGAGTTTAAGTATAGCCAATTGGAATTTGTGGTCTGTATGTTTTATAATTTCTCTCTCTCTCATGCACTTGTTGTCGACTGGGTTTGAACCCAGGGCACCTGCATGACACTGTTAGCCCGCTGAGATAAAGGCATGAGCTTGAGGAGCTAACATTTCAGGTCCCAGGAAGGGTTGCTCATCACCGAACCACCTCCATCACATGCCTACTAACCTGAGTTGCCTCAATGACATTATCCAACTTTGATTATTATACGAGATGTGAGATGTAAGGGATGGATAAAGATTCTGTACATTCATTGATGTATGTTTATGTTGCTCCTGCTGCTTCCCTGAAACTAATGACCCTATAAGGGCCTAAGGGAATGAATAATGTTGTACTAGATTACCTTGTATGATACATAAGATGAGACTGAAGTGTGTATATGTGTGTGTGTGTTGCAGGCGGAGATTGTGAAGCGTCTCAGTGCAATCTGTGCTCAGATCATCCCCTTCCTCTCTCAGGAGGTAAGTATCACTGACACACACACACACACACACACACACACACACACACACACACACACACACACACACACTCTCACTCTCCTACTGTCCTCTTTACAATGGAAACCACATGGTCAAGACATAACATATTGCTCTGTGTTCATCAAGACATAAGAACATATTGCTCTGTGTTCATCAAGACATAAGAACATATTGCTCTGTGTTCATCAAGACATAAGAGCATATTGCTCTGTGTTCATCAAGACATAAGAACATATTGCTCTGTGTTCATGAAGACATATGAGCATGTTGTTTCAGAATTTCTATCATTTTGTTACGGTTCATTTATATTAGCCAGATAGCCTTTTAAATCAATAGGTTATTTTTGTGAATGGTTGGTTTCCTTTTTGTTCAGTAACTCATGGTAGTTATTTGATCTATCAACACACATAATGACCCAAAACAGTTTCTTAGCAGTTTCTTGACTGAGGTTAATATGTTTGACCCTCTACAATGTGTGTGACAAGAATGTGGTGATTACATTTTTTTGGGTAAAATCTGTCTGCACTGAGTGTGTGTTTGTGTAGGGGTGTGTGTGTGTGTGTGTCCGGTGACGAGTGTGTGTCCACTGAAGGGAAGGTCACAGAACTGCCGGCTGTTTTACCTTGGTCAATATTGATACTGTGTGTGTGTTCTCACTTGTGTGTGTGTGTGTGTGTGTGTGTTTACGTATTGTGTGTGTGTTTGAATGAGTAAATAGATGTGGGTTTTGGGGTGTTTGAGCGTGGTCCTGCTAGGTACTTTTCTGTGGGTATGTGTGACTTTTTCTGTGTGTGTGTGTCTGGTTGCTCAATCATTGTATATATTTGTACTGCGTGTGCATACAGTATGTTTGATTGTGTGTATTGAGGCCACTCAGCGTGTGTTTGTTGTGTGATATATGTGACAAAGGTTGTTTGTGCGTTTTGGTTCCATACAAAACAAATGTCAGGTACAATATACAGTATATGTTAGGAACTGCACACAGTGGGGTAAATAACGTGTGTGTGTGTGTGTGTGTGTGTGTGTGTGTGTGTGTGTGTGTGTGTTTGTAGCACCAACAGCAGGTGGTCCAAGCAGTGGAGAGGGCCAAGCAGGTCACTATGGCCGAACTCAACGCCATCATTGGGGTGAGTCACCTCTGGTCACCATGACAACCGTTACACCCCAGACAGCGACACTATCAACACACACACACACACACACAGAGACCCTACAGGCAGTGGCATGCACACCTCTCTCTCTGCAGTGTTTATTGTGCTGGGAGGAACAATCGGGTGTAGGTAGACTGTAATGTGATGAGAGCTCAGACAAGCTCTCACTGGAAAGACCATTCACTGTGGCACACACATGCGGGCGCACACACACACACACACCAAAACAAGCTGTATTAAGACCCGCAGAAAACAGGCTCTCTTTATCTGTATGTGCCCCCCTCCTCTCCCTCTTCCTCCGTCCCCATCTTTTTCCCTCTCTGTTTTCTTCTCTCCCTCTGTCTACTATTTTATCTTTTGGTTTCTCTCTCCCTTCCTATCTCTCTCTCCCTCCTCCTGTCCTCCCTCTCTCTCTCTCGCCGCTGCCCTCTTTATTTTTCCCTCTGCTCTAATCCAATCTTTCTCTCCATATTCTCTCTCTCTCCAATCTTTCCTCGTCATATTTCTCTCCCTCTCTCTCTCTTCCCCCTCCCCCCTGCCCTGTCTCCCTGGTGTACAGCAGCAGCAGCTCCAGCACCTGTCTCACCACACCCCAGGTATCCCCCTGACTCCCCACCCGTCAGGGCTCTCTCTGGGGGGAGGCTCGGGCCTGCTGGCCCTCACTGGAGCCCTGGGGGTCTCAGCCCACCTGGCCTCCAAGGACGAACGCAACCACCTGGACCCTGAGCACCTGAGAGGTACGACTCACTGATTGACCTCCACGTGAAGGACACTGGTGGCGAGCTGTAGTACTGAAATGTGTCAGCTTTTGATACAAAATAACCACTTGGTTTACTTTTATTGAACTCAAAGGCTGGCGGAATATCTTGAAGAAAAGCACTCATTAAACATAAAACAACTAACAAATGGCACTCCGTTGCCTGTAAGGCCGTATATTGATGCAGGGTGGCTATATGTTAAACTTGTAGGTCCCTGGTGCAGAAAAGAAAGAGCGAAAGACAGAGCAGACATGAATGTTGAATGAGTGAACAGGGGAAGACAGAGAGCATTGTGTCAGAGGAGTGGAGACAGAAAGGGCAGCACTGCAGATTGGATACATGCACAATACTAAGCTTGTGTTTTTATTGCACTGGGACAAGCCTTTTTCAGGTTGACCTTGGCTTGCTGTGGGATTGTTGTTACTATTATCTATACTGACGTCAATCCTCTCCCCTCCTCTCTGTTCCTTCCCCAGAGGGTGCGCCCAGCAGGGTAAGTAACCCCAACGTGTGTATGTGTGTGTGTGCTTGTTCATGTGCATTTCGTGTGTATACGTGTGTGAGTGTGTGTATGTGACTGTGATATAAGTAAGGGAAATAGAGAGTCTCTTTAAAGAGGAACTCTAAAAAATTATGTTTTGTTGGAGAGCTGCCATTAATAAGAACAGCACTAGAATTATTAAAGTGAGTACAACAGTAGAACAGTGATATTGTGCCTTGACTAAGGTCCAATAGAACACTGGTCAGTTCTATGGAGACAATAATATTATGGTGATATGGGTCCAGTAGGATGATCATTGGGCTATCTCTTACTCTGTGGTTGGATATAACCTTGGTGTGTTGGAACTGACAGACCAGTAGACTACTAGACAGCTGTCCTCACTCACACACTCTGATAATAACAGATAGAGGGAGGAGTGGAGAGAAGAAATTAGAGAAATCGAGAGGATACTCTGAGGGGAGCAAGTAAAAACGGAAACATCTGACTATGTCTTTGTTTTATTACAAAGTGAAAATTATTTACATTTGCAATAGCCTTTTCTTTATTTTCTTAACCCCCTTTACCCAATGTACTGATCTTAAAGACCAATCTTTAAGAGGTCCCGTTTGTATTAACGTCCTTCAAAATATGGATGGAAGGAGGGAAGGAGGAAGGAGAGATGCATATCAATTGGTATTTGTTAAGTCGTGCCAATATGACATTTTTGAATTTTAAATAGAAGGAAGAAAGAGAAAGCGAGGGGAAGAAGGAGAGGGGGAGTGAGAGGGAAGCAAAGAGGGAGGATGAGATGGAGAAGACTGGGAGTTTGTTGAGAAAACTGTGGTTCTTTGTGTGTTCGGTCATGTCCGTCCAACCAGCTTCCTGTCTGTGTCCTCCACAGTTCTAAAGAGCAGAACTTTCCGTAGGAGTCAACCGATGAAAGAGAATAGTTATCCCACATAGACCCCAGAAATAATACACTACTTTGATGTTTTATTCCTCTATTATGGGGAGCCCCACCATGCTCTTTCTGGTATAAATAGCCAGAAAATTGGGCTTCTTGTACAATAATCAGAGTCATATTTTACATGAACCTTTCAGTGTCAGGGAGAAAGTTCATTCATAATAACACATTCATAAATATGTTGTTTGCATTTTCTGTATGACTTACTTGCTGTGTGTTGGCTCTCTTTTATGCGTGTGTGTTGTTGTTGTTGTGTGTGTGCAGAGTAAGTCTGTGTCATCGACAGACAGCCAGCCAGTGGAGGAGCGCCAGGGCCCGTCGGGGGGGTACTCCTCCTCCCAGGGAGGGGGCGACGCCAAGAGGAGGCGCTGTGAAGACAAGGAGCCCCTCCCACCTCACTACGTACGTGCGCCATTCAATCAAACCCATAGTATTAACGGTGTCTCGGACATCACAGATTAACCAGAGGTCACAGTCCTTCTGCCAGTCAAATATGTGTTTAACTTGGAAGTGATCAATGACCAAAATAGATAACCCTATTGAACATGATCTCTCTTTCTCTGATTGACATAAATACGGTATGAGAACTGCCTCACACATCACGTCAGTGTAGCCTCTCGTGAAGGGAGGTGTTATGTTTTTAAAACAGGCTGGACAGTGAGCTCTGTTGATCATCAGCGCCTCTGTACTACATAATGCTTGTTTGTCTCCTAGCTCTGGTCTGTCTATGTCCAGGAATAGTCTCCTCTCCACCATGGCCCTGATCTGGCTCAATATAATTAGGGGGTGATGTCACTCCACGTGATGTCAATAGGAATATCAGGCCATGATCACATCAAAGCATTGTTGCCATGGTGACTAAGTGCCATCGCTGTCACCCCTATTCCCAGAGATAAAGAGGGAGGGAGAGAGAGGAGTAAAGTAGTGATATGGCCAAACAGTGTGAGAGAGGTTGTGTGTATGTGTGTTACTCTGTGTGCCTGACAGAGTGAGGAAGTGAGAGGTGGGCAATGTTTGTGTGAGAGAGAGTGTTTGTGTTTCTGACATTCTCCTCTCTCCTCTGTGTCTCACAGGACAGTGATGGGGACAAGAGTGAGGACAACCTGGTTGTGGATGTCTCTAACGAGGTAAGTGTGTTTGTCACCCATAGGCACAGATCTAGGATCAGCTTACCCTGACCCCACTCTAACTGCAACCATCTGAGAGAAAACGCTAAACTGACCTTAAATCAGCATCCGATACTGTTGCGGAAAAACAAACAATGAGTAATATATAACTACTGTAGCTATACTGGCTGAAACCGGTCTGTATTGACCAGACCGTCCCTAGCCAATAGAACATAGTTCAAATGGAAAGCTGAGTCTCCTCTCTCTAAGACCCTGTTGTTTCACTGTACAGGGCTGGTTAAGCATAGGAGAATTATACACTTACGTCGGAATTTTGAAAATAGTGAATATTATTATATAAGCACATTATGGGGAGCTAGCTGCTTTTCTCTCCTCTCCTAGTGAGTACTTCCTGCCTGCTGAACACACACGACACCATATACACTCACACACACTGCATGCACACATACACACAAACACACACCCCTCCTTTCATCAGATGGCAGCAGTGTGCCCTTTATTTATGCAAAGCCGTTATGCCCTCAGAATGTTTAAATTCTTTAAATACTTCACGCAGGGTACAAAAATATGTTTTATCTAAGCCTTTTGTGTTTGATAATGCGCAGCACAATGCACAAAAGCGGGAAAGTCTCTTGTGTGATTTGTGAATACAGAACAATTGGAGAATTTGACAAATGTTCTTAATGGGTGTGTGAGAGGGAGTGTCTCTGGTGACCATACTAGAACAGACTATAGATGTGTGTTCTGCTCTGCTCAGACACAGCCACAGTAGAAGTGCTGACTGCAGCACACTGGGAGCAGATGGGAATGGTTTTATATAGGTGGCTGTGGCAGGGAGGTAGACAGTCGGCTGGGTTTGACTTACAGTACCGTACAGGCCTCATACACACTTGTGCTTAAAACCATACAGATACTATAGTAATCTATAATGTCTATAATGTTACAGATTTACGGGTTTTAGTTTTTTTCACAGACAATGTGAAGGCTACTGTCTTCTTGCAAGGCTTTTGGGGTGACCTGGTCTTCCATATCTCTCTGTGTGTCTCCAGGAGCCCACGTCCCCCGTAGGCAGCCCCCATCACTCCCCCCATGGGAATGGTTTGGACCGGGCCCCCAACCTGAGGAAGGAGTTACCAGGGTCCCCCAGGAGCCCTGGGGAGGCCCCCTCCCCCCAACCACCACGCAGCCCCACCCCGGGCAAGGCCAAGGACCCAGCACAGGTATGATACATTCATTGTCAAGCATTAATATGGTGGCCAACATCCACCAATTAAAGTACTGGTGATTCGTTTGACAGTATCTCTTTACCTCTCTGTAGATGGAGAAGTCTGGGTCGCCGTTGTCTAAGTCGAGCACCCCGTCCCCCTCACACCGTGAGGCCCTTACCCCCGGCCCCGCCGGCCCCAGTACGTCCTGCCTCCGTCTGCTCAGCAAGGCTGCCTCCTCCGCTGACCCCCTGGGTGAGTCAGACACCCCTGTCTGCCTGCCATACCCTCTGTCTGTACCCCTGTTATTATACCCCTGCACCCCTGTTAGACCATCAAATATATAGCCCTGTAATACCATAATTATACCTTCCATCTGATCATAATACCATCATACCATAATCCAACCCCTATTGTGATGATATGCTCCTGTGGTCCCGTATTGTACTCACATCTGCCACATTCTGCCTAAAGCAATAAAGATGGCATTGTAGCCTATAAGAAACCGTGGTGAACTTGATTGTTGCCAACACATCTCTAGCAGTTAGACGTCACCCTAACCTTTTCTTACCCGCTGGAATGTAAGGTGTGTTCTCATCTCCCCCCTCACCCCCTCCTCCCCTCCCCAGCTCTCCGCAGTCCCCTGTCTGTGCCCCCCGGTTCGTACCCAGCTCACTTTGGGGTGGTGTCCCACGCAGGCCTCAACGGGGAGCTGGCCAGTCCCGGGGGCTTCGGGGGTGCCCTGACCCTTTCGCCCCAGATCAGCACCGCCGCCAGTGTCTACACCCGCAGCCCCTTGGTGAGTTTGATACCACGCATCACTGGTCTATCTGTTTAAAACAGGTATCTACAACGGCAGACCTCAAGGGCTGCATTGTCTATAGTCTTTGTCTCTTCCTGGCACCTAATTGATCAATTATGTCCCTAATTCGCCAGTTAGTGTGCACACCTGGTTACCCAGGTCTGAATCAATTAGATTGCTTTCCATTACAAAGCAAGAAGGAAAACCAGTATACAATGCCTAGAGGATCGAAGATGTGCACCACTGATTTAAAACAAAACAAAAACATTGATGAAGATGGATTCTTAGTAGTATGTGGTTTGGAAGCTTGTGTTGGATGAATTGTCAAGATTTCACTCAATTTGATGAGATTAGGATTTACTGAGATTAAACTGTTACAACACAGGATGATTCTGTTAGTAAACTCCTAATGTCTTGGTCCTCCTAGTCTCTCCAGATGGCGTATGAGTCTCGGTCCCACCTCAGGGCCCCAGGGCTGTCCGCTTCACTGCCTGGTGGATCCTCCGGGGGCAAACCGTACGTCTCTCTTCTCCTCTATCCAAATCCATCCAGACAGAAAGAAAGATGGCTGTTGTTTTTATTGCTGGAGCAAGCCGCAAACTCTCCCAATTTCGATATTGAATAACACAACAACCTTGGCATCGCTAGGCTATTTATCAGCCGTCACAAATAACACTCTGTACTACACGGGCCAAAGTAAATCTCCCATTTTGCATTCTGCCAACGGCTATTGTGTGAAAAGATTTTGAAGACTATTTCTCAACTTCTAATGCTGTTACAGTGTTGACAGTCTTCAAGGTTTAAGCTAGCAAGCACTTTTTGTAATAATATACAGATGTAGATTGCAGTGGTTGGCACTCTTTCCATTCTCTCCTTCCTCCTCCCTCTCTCCAGTGCCTACTCTTTCCACGTGAGTGCGGATGGACAGATGCAGCCGGTACCTTTCCCTCCAGATGCCCTGCTGGGCCCGGGCATCCCGCGGCACGCCCGTCAGATCCACACTCTGAACCACGGAGAGGTGGTGTGTGCCGTCACCATCAGCACCTCCACACGCCACGTCTACACCGGCGGCAAGGGCTGTGTCAAGGTGTGGGACATCAGCCAGCCTGGCAGCAAGAGTGCCATGGCCCAGCTTGACTGTCTGGTGAGTGGACACACACTTTAAAAGGCTTAACCAATAATATTGCTTGTTTTGCCAGTCTAATACACATGTTCTCTCTTCGCACCAATCAGAACAGGGATAACTACATCCGCTCATGTAAGATTCTCCCTGATGGACGGACCCTCATTGTTGGAGGCGAGGCCAGCACGTTGTCAATCTGGGACTTGGCCACACCTACTCCCCGCATCAAGGCGGAGTTGACGTCTTCTGCCCCGGCCTGCTACGCTCTGGCCATCTCCCCCGACAACAAGGTCTGCTTCTCCTGCTGCAGCGACGGCAACATCGTAGTCTGGGACCTGCACAACCAGACCCTGGTTAGGTAAGAGGAGGAGGAGGATAGGAGAGGAGAGGGGGTTGAGGAGGTTAGGAGGGGTATTGTGGGGAAACATCGTAGTCTGGGACCTGCACAAAGAGACCCTGGTCAGGTAAGAGGAGAGGAGAGGGTAGGGCAGGAGAGAAGAGAAGAGGATAGGGGGAGGAGAGAGCAGGGTAGGGGTTTACTGTATAGACTATGGATTACATCTGAATGGCTGGGTGTTGATGTTGAAGTGATCTTTCTGCTACCCAGGCAGTTCCAGGGCCACACTGACGGGGCCAGCTGTATTGACATCTCCAACGATGGGACCAAACTGTGGACGGGGGGGCTGGACAACACAGTACGCTGCTGGGACCTGAGAGAGGGACGACAGCTGCAGCAACACGACTTCACCTCACAGGTACAGATGGAACCTGTGAGTGGCGCAGTGGTCTAAGGCACTGCATCGCAGTGCAAAACTGTGCCACTAGATCCTGGTTCGAATCCAGGCTCTGTCGCAGCCGGCCGCGACCGGGAGACTCATGGGCGGCGCACAATTGGCCCAGCGTCGTCCAGGGTAGGGGAGGGAATGGCCGGCAGGGATGTAGCTCAGTTGATAGAGCATGGTGTTTGCAACGCCAGGGTTGTGGGTTCGATTCCCACAGGGGGCCAGTATAAAATAAAAAAATAAAAATATGTAAGTCGCTCTGGATAAGAGCGTCTGCTAAATGACTAAAATGTAAATGTAAACACCTGAGACGTTGTGAGATTAGCTGAGACTAGCTAAGACCAGCTCAGTACTGCCTTTATGAGAAGCACTGTACCTGTTAATATATGATACATATCAGCCTCTATATCAGACCAGTCACTGTTTCGCTCTGTTCTATCACATCACTGTTTGCACATCTAAATATATCTGTCACAGTAGGGCGCTAGAGCACTGCCAAAAGTCTGAGTGCCAGAAATTGACATGTGTAGGTGTACAAATGCAATTTTTGCTCGCAAATATTAAGTTACAAGTTTGCGAATGCCATTACAACTACATTCATTTTTTTCATGTTCACAATTCATCAGTTACTCAGATACCTCCTGCGCGTTGACCTGTTGTTTCGGCCTGTTGTTTCCAAAGTTTTCTTTTGTTTTATTTTTATTTTATTCATAAGTGTTTGTGTCAAAACCTGCTGCTAGCTAGCTAGCTATGTTGCAATGGAGCCCGCGTCACCTGGAATAGCTAACTAACGTTTCCAGTGCTGTAGAAGCTGGGTTTACTATGCTCTTGTCCAGGACAATATTGACAATCCGGAGTTGCAATGCAGCAATTGTTTGCTTACGGAGGATTACCGGAATGAGGTGGCTAACCTTAGCAAGCAAATTTAAATTCTGCGCGAACTTATGGGGAAGACTCAAATTGGAACTTTCTCATTCTCAACTCCTGTGGCTGGACGCCGCTCGGGCTTGATGGATGTATCCCTGCCTTGTCATCTGTCCCTATCCGAATGGCCTGTGCTACCTGGAACTTGCCTGCCAAAGAAGTCGTCTCCATCTGCTTCTCCTCCTCCATTTTGTAGTGGAGTAGACGGAGAACAGCAAGAGGATTGTTCCAATCAGTGCTGGTCCCATGTCACAAGTCGTGGAAACCGAAGGCAGCAGCATGCTGCAAAAACAGACTGGAGTGTCTGCGAGAGGTTCAAAGCAGATTGACATGAGGAATAGCTACGCCGCCCTGGTGCCTGATCTACCTGTGCCTTTATCGCTGGGACTGCCTGTGTCTGCGACGGCTGTGCTGACTCCAACTACGCTGACTCCAGCAGCGGCTTTGTCGTTGAGTTCGGCTCCTTTCCCTCTCTCTGGATCTGACGGGGCACTGCCTGCTGTGGGAGGTCTGGACATATCGCCGGGAGCTGCGGGTGTATGCTATCCTGCTTCTCGTGAGCCTGTGAAAGGTTCCACAAATTGTGTGAGGGTTAGGAATGGGCGGATATCGCCATCCCCTTCTGGATCCTTTCACATCATTATAAGGCTGCGTTGAGACAATGACTTATCAACTACCAAAGGCCAGCTCAGTTAATCCCTACCCTTGTGTCGCTGAGTTGTAATAATGCTTCAGCAAATGTACATTATCACAGGGGCGTTGGAAGACACAATGTAAGTAACCTAATTTATGTCCCTCTAACTGCCCTGAATGCCTCTGCTGATCCTACAGCTATTGTATGCAGTAATCATGTGCCTATGAACCAGAGTTATACTGTTAGCATTGAGGCGGTGTGCCCTTGTAGGAACCCCACTGTGTGCAGCTCACCCTGCACTAACATAAATAACATGAGCATGTCTACTTCTGCTAAGCTTCCCAGTAAAGCAATGAAAACAATCAAGCATCCCAGAAAAGTGCTAAAAATAGTCCACGTTAACATATTTAGCTTAAGAAACAAGGTTCATGAAATCAATAATTTACTAGTAACAGATGACATTCATATTCTGACAATCTCTGAAACTCACTTAGAGAATACCTTTGATGATACAGTGGTAGCAATACATGGTCATAACATCAACAGAAAAGACAGAAATACCAATGGTGGAGGGGTTGCCGTTCTATATTCAGAACCACATTCGTGTAAAACTTAGAGGATTTTAGTGTTAAATACTGTAAGTAATATGGCTACAGGTTCATCTGCCTCACCTAAAGCCCATTCTTGTGGGAAGCTGCTATAGACCACCAAGTGCTAACTGTCAGTATCTGGATAACATGTGTGAAATGCTTAATAATGTATGTGATATCAACAGAAAGGTATATCTTCTGGGTAATTTAAATATTGACTGGCTTTCATCAAGCAGCCCACTCAAGAAAAAGCTTCAAACTGTAACTAGTGCCTGCAACCTGGTTCAGGTTATCAGTAAAAACCTACCAGGGTAGTTACAAACAGCACAGGAATGAAATCATCAACATGTATTGATCACATCTTTACTTATTCTGCAGAAATTTGCTTTAAAGCAGTATCCAAATCCATTGGATGTAGGGATCACAATATAGTAGCCATATCTAGGAAAACCAATGTTCCAAAGGCTGGGCCTAATATAGTGTATACAATACGTTTTGTAGTGATTCCTATGTTGTTGATAAAGAATATGTGTTGGTCTGTGGTGTGTAATGAGGAGCAACCAGACGCTGCTCTTGACACATTTGTGAAATTGCTTATTCCAGTTACTATTATGCACTCACTAAGAAAACGACTGTAAAAACTGTTAAATCTCAATGGATTGATGAGGAATTGAAAAATGGTATGGTTGAGAGGGATGAGGCAAAAGGAATGGCAAATAAGTCTGGCTGCACAACCGATTGGCAAACGTACTGCAAATTGCGAAATTATGTGACTAAACTGAATAAAAATAAGAACAAACTATACTATGAAACAAAGATAAATTATATAAAGAATGATAGTTAAAAGCTTTGGAGCACCTTAAATAAAATGTTGGGCAAAAAGGCAAACTCAGCTCCATCATTCATTGAATCAGATGGCTCATCCATCACAAAAACCCACTGATATTGCCAATTACTTTAATGATTTTTTCATTGGCAAGATTAGCAAACTTAGGCATGACATGCCAGCAACAAACGTTGACACTACACATCCAAGTATAACTGATCAAATTATGAAAGACAAGCATTGTAATTTTTTATTTCGTAAAGTGAGTGTGGAAGAGGTGAGAAAATATTGTTGTCTATCAACAATGACAAGCCACTGGGGTCTGAGAACTTGGATGGAAAATTACTGAGGATAATAGCGGACAATATTGCCACTCCTATTTGCCATATCTTCAATTTAAGCCTACTAGTTCCCTCGGGCCTGGAGGGAAGCAAAAGTAATTTAGCTACCCTAGAATAGGAAAGCCCCCTTTACTGGCTCAAATAGCCGACCAATCAGCCTGTTACCAACCCTTAGTAAACTTTGGGAAGAATGTGTGTTTGTCCAGATACAATGCTATTTTACTGTAAACAAATTGACAACAAACTTTCTGCACGCTTATAGGGAAGGACATTCAACAAGCACGGCACTTACACAAATGACTGATATTTGGCTGAAATAAATGTATGATAAAAAGATTGTGCGAGCTGTTTTGTTAGACTTCAGTGCGGCTTTTGACATTATCAATCATAGTTGGAAAAACGTACAGTGCCTTTGGAAAGTATTCAGACCCCTGAAGTCGAAGGAATTGTCCGTAGAGCTCAGAGAAAGGATTGTGTCGAGGCACAGATGTGGGGAAGGGTACCAAAAAATTACTGCAGCATTGAAGGTCCCCAAGAACAGAGTGGCCTCCATCATTCTTAAATGGAAGAAGTTCTGGAACCACCAAGACTCCTCCTAGAGCTGGCCCCCCGGCCAAACTGAGCAATTGGGGGAGAAGGGCCTTGGTCAGGGAGGTGACCAAGAACCCGATGGTCACTGACAGAGCTCCAGAGTTCTTCTGTGGAGATGGGAGAACCTCCCAGAAGGACAACCATCTCTGCAGCACTCCACCAATCAGGCCTTTATGGTAGAGTGGCCAGACGGAAGCCACTCCTCAGTAAAAGGCACATGACAGCCCGCTTGGAGTTTGCCAAAAAGGCACCCAAAGACTCTCAGACCATGAGAAACAAGATTCTCTGGTCTGATGAAACCAAGATTGAACTATTTGGCCTGAATGCCAAGCGTCACGTCTGGAGGAAACCTGGCACCATCCCTACGGTGAAGCATGGTGGTGGAAGTATCATCCTGTGGGAATGTTTTTCAGCGGCAGGGACTGGGAGACTAGTCAGGATCAAGGGAAAGATGAATGGAGAAAAGTACAGAGTGTTCCTTGATGAAAACCTGCTGCAGAGTGCTCAGGACCTCACACTGGGGCAAAGGTTCACCTTCCAACAGTATGAAAATGTATGCACTCACTAACTGCTAAATGACTAAAATGTAAAAAAAAAAAAAAAAAAAAGTGGCCCAGCCAGAGCCCGGACTTGAACCTGATCGAACATCTCTGGAGAGATCTGAAAATAGCAGTGCAGCAAAGCTGTGGTCCTCTGTAGCTCAGCTGGTAGAGCACGGCGCTTGTAACGCCAAGGTAGTGGGTTCGATCCCCGGGACCACCCATACACAAAAATGTATGCACGCATGACTGTAAGTCGCTTTGGATAAAAGCGTCTGCTAAATGGCATATTATATATTATTATTATTAAAGCTCCCCATCCAACCTGACAGAGCATGAGAGGATCTGCAGAGAGGAATGGGAGAAACTCCCCAAATAAATGTGTACCAAGCTTGTTGCGTCATACCCAAGAAGACTCGAGGCTGTAATCGCTGCCGAAAGTCCTTCAACAAAGTACTGCGTAAAGGGTCTGAATACTTATGTAAATTTGTTATTTCCGTTTTTTTTTTTTTTATACATTTGCAAAAATGTCTAAACCTGTTTTTGCTTTGTCATTATGAGGTATTGTGTGTAGATTGATGAGGGGGGAAAAAACAATTTAATCCATTTTAGAATAAGGCTGTGGAAAAAGTCAAGGGGTCTGAATACTTCCTGAATGCACTGTATGTGTTATGGCTTTACACCCCCTGCTATATTGTGGATAAAGAGTTACCTGTCTAACAGAACACAGAGGGTGTTCTTTAATGGAAGCCTCTCCAACATAATCGAGGTAGAATCAGGAATCCCCAAGGGTGGCTGTCTAGGCCCCGTACTTTGTTCAATCTTTACTAATGACATGCAACTGGCCTTGAGTAAAGCCAGTGTGTTTCTCTATGCAGATGACTCAACACTATACACATCAGCTGCTACAGCGAGTATAATCACTGCAACGCTCAACAAAGGGCTGCAGTTAGTTTCAGAATGGGTGGCAAGGAATAAAATAGTCCTAAATATTTGAAAAACTGAAAGTATTGTATTTGGGACAAATCATTCACTAAATCATTCAGTCGTGTGGTCAGGTGCCACAGAGGGACCTCGGAAAATTACAATTGGCTCAGAACAGGGCAGCACGGCTGGCCCTTAAATGTACACGGAGAGCTAACATTAATATCTCTCAAGAGAGCTAGCATGTCAATCTCTCAAGACTCAAAGTAGAGGAGAGATTGACTTCATCACTACTTGTTTTTGTAAGAAGTGTTGACATGCTGAATGCACCGGGGTGTCTGTTTAAACTACTAGCACACAGCTCGGACACCCATGCATACCCCACAAGACATGCCACCAAAGGTAATCCCCAAGTCAAGAACAGACTATGGGAGGTGCACAGTACTACATAGAGCCATGGCTACATGGAACTCTATTCCACATCAGGTAACTGATGCAAGCAGTAGAATCAGATTTTTTTTTTAAACAGATAAAAATACACCTTATGGAACAGCAGGGACTGTGAAGAGACACACGCACAGGCACAGACACACATATACATGATAAGACACGCACTCTACACACACGTACACGTGGATTGTGTATTGTAGATAAAGTGGGGAGAACAAGTATTTGATACACTGCCGATTTTGCAGGTTTTCCTACTTACAAAGCATGTAGAGGTCTGTACTTTTTATCATAGGTACACTTCAACTGTGAGAGACAGAATCTAAAACAAAAATCCAGAAAATCACATTGTATGATTTTAAAGTAATTCATTTGCATTTTATTGCATAACATAAGTATTTGATACATCAGAAAAGCAGAACTTAATATTTGGTACAGAAACCTTTGTTTGCAATTACAGAGATCATACATTTCCTGTAGGTCTTGACCAGGTTTGCACACACTGCAGCAGGGATTTTGGCCCACTCCTCCATACAGACCTTCTCCAGATCCTTCAGGTTTCGGGGCTGTTGCTGTTGCTGTTGCTGGGCAATACGGACTTTCAGCTCCCTCCAAAGATGTTCTATTGGGTTCAGGTCTGGAGACTGACTAGGCCACTCCAGGACCTTGAGATGCTTCTTACGGAGCCACTCCTTAGTTGCCCTGGCTGTGTGTTTCGGGTTGTTGTCATGCTGGAAGACCCAGCCACGACCCATCTTCAATGCTCTTACAAGATCTTGCGATACATGGCCCCATCCATCCTCCCCTCAATATGGTGCAGTCGTCCTGTCCCCTTTGCAGAAAAGCATCCCCAAATAATGATATTTCCACCTCCATGCTTCACGGTTGGGATGGTGTTCTTGGGGTTGTACTCATCCTTCTTCTTCCTCCGTGCGCTGCAGGATTTTAATCCATGACGGCATAGTGTGTTACTAATGGTTTTCTTTGAGACTGTGGTCCCAGCTCTCTTCGGGTCATTGACCAGGTCCTGCCGTGTAGTTCTGGGCTGATCCCTCACCTTCCTCATGATCATTGATGCCCCACGAGGTGAGATCTTGCATGGAACCCCAGACCGAGGGTGATTGACCGTCATCTTGAACTTCTTCCATTTTCTAATAATTGCGCCAACAGTTGTTGCCTTCTCACCAAGCTGCTTGCCTATTGTCCTGTAGCCCATCCCAGCCTTGTGCAGGTCTACAATTTTATCCCTGATGTCCTTACACAGCTCTCTGGTCTTGGCCATTGTGGAGAGGTTGGAGTCTGTTTGATTGAGTGTGTGGACAGGTGTCTTTTATACAGGTAACGAGTTCAAATAGGTGCAGTTAATACAGGTAATGAGTGGAGAACAGGAGGGCTTCTTAAAGAAAAACTAACAGGTCTGTGAGAACCGGAATTCTTACTGGTTGGTAGGTGATCAAATACTTATGTCATGCAATAAAATGCAAATTAATTACTTAAAAATCATACAATGTGATTTTCTGGATTTTTGTTTTAGATTCCATCTCTCACAGTTGAAGTGTACCTATGATAAAAATTACAGACCTCTACATGCTTTGTAAGTAGGAAAACCTGCAAAATCGGCAGTGTATCAAATACTTGTTCTCCCCACTGTATGTGATAGGAGAGTAGTGGCCTGAGGGAACACACTTAATGTGTTTTGAAAGATGTTATGAAATGTAATTTCATGTAATATTTTAAATTGTATATAACTGCCTTAATGTTGCTGGACCCCAGGAAGAGTAATGGGGATCCTTAGTAAATACAAATACAAATACATCACACATGATGATGCTGCTGATGATCTTTGTCAGATGATCTCTGTTTACTCATGTAATGAGCTTTCTCTCCTTTTCTCCCACTCTCTCTCCCATTCTCTCTCCTTCTCCCTCCCTCCAGATCTTCTCTCTGGGCTACTGTCCTACAGGAGAGTGGCTGGCAGTGGGTATGGAGAGCAGTAATGTAGAAGTGCTGCATGTCTCCAAACCAGACAAGTACCAGCTGCACCTCCACGAGAGCTGTGTGCTCTCACTCAAGTTCGCCTCCTGTGGTACGTACAAGCTCACAACTCTGACACACTCACACTCTAACCTTTATACTTATGCTAATGAGATGTATAGTCCAAATGTCTGCTGAGCCAAGTGTAATGTGCGTGTGTTTGTGTTTCAGGCAAGTGGTTTGTGAGCACAGGGAAGGACAATCTGCTGAATGCATGGAGGACGCCATATGGAGCCAGTATTTTCCAGGTGAAAAATACACACCACACACACAGACACACACACACAAAATGTTACACAATAACCTCCCCATCATCACTGTTTTAATTTAAGCCATTCACAAAGGGCCCGATTCAGACTTAGGAAATGTATGCCTTTCCTAAGCACGCCTTTCCAACGCACTTCTTAGTAGTTGGTATTCAGACTTACCTTATGCAGGTACGTAACAGGCTTTGCAGGCGTGGGTTCCTTGCGCGCACAGAATAAATTGAATTAAACTGCTGAGAACCCTCCCACTTGCTGGCCAACAGAATTACATGTGGAGTTTTCATTTAATAGAGTTTTCAGTACATTTATCTAAAGCCATCCCTCCAAATTTGGTGTACCTTTTTAATTTGAATTTTCTCACCAGAATATATAGAGAGAACCATTCCGAATATTAGGGATCAATTAAAGAAAGCCACGTATATTCGGGGTGGTGGGGGGGGCTTGCAACTCAATATTAGGAAGCTGTTCCTAATGTTTAGTATACTGGTGAATCAAAAATAGTGGTTTGATTCAGCCTGAAAGTTGCTATGTTCAATTGTTCAATCCATTAAGTATTGGAAGGTGAGAAAAGTGTACAATAGGGGTTGACCAGTAGTCCTATAAATCGACTCTAATAATCCTCACTAATCATGGCACCGTGATGACAACGCTCCAGTCGTCGTGAACCGTGCGCCAGGCTCCAGGTTTAAACTGCTACATATGGTCTGCATTCCATAATGATTAAAATAGGTTACATGTTCCAAATTATTGCACAACATGGAATACAGCCTAATATGATCCACTATTGCTAGTGATCCTCAGGAACCAAAACACGAACGTCGCACAGAAGAAAGAAAGGTAAACTAACAATGTAATGGAATGATGCAACATTTAAGGAAACTAACACTAAAGTGACAGTTATAAATGTATGGTGGTATAACTGACTGTGGCTACCGATAGTGGCTAACATTTAACACGATACAAATTGTAAAATATACAGTGAAAAGTCCGGGCATATAATTCAAACATTCTAGAACACATAAACAACTCAGTAAGTTGGAGCTATACTGTCATTTGAGCGTGGCTACAGAAGCCTATAGCTTGGGTCTCCACATTTCATATCTGCGAGTTATAAGGCCAGCGTTTCATAAACTTCACAATGGAAAAGGTGATATGTTGATATGCTTCAGTTTGCTGCCATGTAACCGGTTTCACATTTGTCTCCAGCGATCATAAGGTAAAATAGATATAAAACAATTGTCCTTTATATTTACAATCCCCTTATCTAAACAGCAAACTCATTTTCCTAGCTCTTATCAATCGCTCTTATCAATTTGGAAATTACAGTGCATGGAGAAGGGTGTTATATCTATCGGGAATAGAAAGTAGATGTTGTTCCACTTGATACCGACATGTTGCTCGACCGTATTCATCGTTTCATCGTGCGTAAAGGTGGTAGAATTATAAGGAAATGAAGTTAAAGGTCAGAATACGGCGTTTATGTAGTCACCACTCCGCCACACCTTCATTTCTTTGATCTCCACCCAAAACGAATTGCGGGTGAATAGCATCCTATTCTCATGCTTAAGTTCAAGGTCAGAATACGAGTAAAGAGAAAGGTGCATAAAAAGGGAATTATGTTACATTTACGCTCACTTAACTCGGGTCGGAATTCCCCCCAAAGGAAATGCATTGTGCATTTCTAGAATATACATTTTTAGCCAAGGCTGTTTTAGGCTGTGTCTGTATAAGTGTGATGAGTTACAGGAAGGGATGGGCCGTTTAAAGGGGGAGAGATGTGTCGTTTGTGGGAGGGAGACAGTATGGCTGTCATATTGCTGTTTGCTAGACTAGTGCAGGGAGAGGAGGAATCTGCAGCCTTGGCGGTTAGTGTCTCCCTAGGGCTCTGAAATGCACAGAGGCTATCTGCTTTGTTATCCAAATGCCTCTGTCACCCCCCCACCCCCGCATGACGTCTCACACTCTCCCTCGGAACCTGCTCCCCCCTTTCTCTCCGTCTCTCTCTCTCTCTCTCTGGCTCTCTCGCTTTACTACTCTTGCTCTCTTTTACTCCCCAGATTCATCCGTCTCTCTCACATGTACACACATACCTCCCCTTTCTCCTCCCTCCATTTACTCTCACTCACCACTACCTCATCCTTTGTACCGCTCCCTCCTCCCCGTTTCTGTCTCTGTAGTGGGAGTGTGTCTGTCAGTCAAAATGGCCTCTCTCACCAGTGGCCTGCTGATTGACAGCCCTGGTGATATGAACCTGTGATGTGGAGGAGAGAGGACTGGAGGGAGGAGGATGAGGTTGCGGGAGGGGGAGAGGGGAGGGGAGGGAGAGAAGGTGGAGGAGAGAGAGGTACTATAGATGTTCAGAGGAGGGATGGGTTGCGAGAGGAGGGTGAGGGAAGAGAGAGGTTGAGAGAGGAGCAGGGCTAGAGAACCATCTGGGGCTAGGATATGAGGCCTGAGTCTGGTGGAGACTTGACAGAATGGAGGTAGAAGGGCTTGTTTATTCAGGTAATGTAGAGAGAGTCAGAGAGTCAGCCCCCTGTGTTTCTGTGGTGCTGAAAGCTGTGATTAGTGATGCTGAGAGCACAGCTGAACCACGTAGGGTTAAGAACCCGGGGAGACACATCACTCTGCCTGTCAGACATGAAGAAGAAAAGTTACAAGCACCATTGTCTGTTATGAAACATGCATTGTGTAGCAATTACCATTACTGGGATGATCTAAAACCCTTGTAATGACTTGGTAATTTTCTCAAAAGTATTTATTATTATTTTTATTTTTTAAATTTTAGTCATTTAGCAGACGCTCTTATCCAAAGCGACTTACAGGAGCAATTAGGGTTAAGTGCCTTGCTCAAGGGCACATCGACAGATTTTTCACCTAGTCGGCTCGGGGATTAGAACCAGCGACCTTTCGGTTACTGGCACAACGCTCTTAACCGCTACCTGCCGCCCAAAAGTAGAGAATGGTTCAATCAGAAATAGCATAATAGATTGACTATACCGATTTATTGTGTCCAAACAAAGTGTTTATATTTTGTACGCTATTTTGATTCAGTGAATACATCTAGGTGGTATACACACTAGTGTTATTAGGGCATTTTGAGCTATGAGGAGACAACTCTATAGTGGACGAACATGGAGACATGAGACGTCAGTAGTGAGAGAGTTTCCTGAGTAGAGCAGGGATATCTGGTGCCATGTAGGACCCTCAGGGAGATCTCTCCTCATCACTGTCACTCAACTACCGCTACAGAAGAATTGGTGGAAGTGTGTTCCTTCCCAGACCGATATGTGTTCCTGAGTAAACACACGTCTGTCTTTCACTGAACCTCTCCTTCTGTCTCATACTGTCTGTGACTCCTTAGTCTCAGTCTCTGTTTAAACTCAGTTTCACGTAGCTAAGTGGAAGTGAGTAATTGGAGAGTGTTATTACACCTACTGACCAGGCTCTGGCAGGTCCACCTCTAATTTTAACAGCGTTCATGGATGAGTCACTGATTTTTAACACCTTTTTTCTCTCTGTCTCTCCCTCCCTCTCTCTGTCTCTCCCTCTCTCAGTCCAAGGAGTCCTCGTCAGTCCTGAGTTGTGACGTGTCACCAGATGATAAGTACATAGTGACCGGTTCTGGAGACAAGAAGGCCACCGTGTATGAGGTGGTCTACTGAGAACAGGAAATAAGGGGGGGATGAGGGAAATTTCAGAGGGGTGGGGGGCTTAGCTGGTTGGGGTGGAGGGGGGACCTACTCAAGGCCTACAGCAGGGCAGGTGGGGGCAACCATGGCTCTTTTGTACAGAAGCAATGCTTCCTGGCTCCAGCTCTCAAAGGACCCTTCTACAACAGCCCCCCCTCCCAATCTCAGCTAGCTGCTCATCCCTGCACCCATTATAGCCTGAGGATGAGGCAGGATAGAAAGAAAGGGAGAGCAAGAGAGGGAGAGGCAGAGAGATAAAGAGCCAGGGAGAGTGAGAGGGCTACAGATAACGAGAGAAGGAAGGAGAGGGGGGGAGAGAAGGAGGAGGTTAATTAGTGCTGTTTCCTGATTAAGAGCTCAGCGGAAGGGAAACCCCAGAGGAAGAGCGCGCCACTCTGGGAGCTGCAGCGAGGAGCACTGATACCAGACAATCGATTCATTAGTCAGACAGTGGAACCCTTAATGAGGCCAACGCCGCGCCACAGCTCCCCAGCCAGGGGTGTCAGGAGTGGGGGTGAGCTAGCACCAGGAGCCGGCTTGGACTGGGCCGTGCTGGAGCTCTGCCCCAGTGATATAATCAAAACACAGAGATAGATAGACACACACACACAGCCTCACACCCAATTATGTATTCACAGCAGCACTCCCTGTCCCACTCCCCTAATATCTATTTTATTTTAGTCTCACAAAAGCAGCGTTTAATGAGCAGCGTCAATCTGAGTCTCAGCGGGCCCCTGTGCCACAAACACCAAACAGACGAGAGCAACACTGTGCTGTTCATCTTAATGCTTACCAATGGATTGTTCTCCTTAGACTGCTCCCCGCTTAATGCTCATTTAACTTCCCTGCATTATACGACATGCTCCAATGTGTGGCAAATAAGGACGTTATTATGATATTATGTATATTGCGAAAGCCTGCTTCGATAGAACATGTCACAATCTTAATATGTCGATAAAAAAAAAAAAATCATGCTCAAGCTACTTTTAAGTCGTTTTGTTGCAGTAGTGGTTGCGTTGTTTTAAGAGGAGGCTATGGTTGCCTACGCCTGTACTCTGGCCTTGGAGAGCAAGAGGAACACACACACACCACGACCTAGTGGAAAATATATTTTTGGCTTTTTATTTACTTTAATCTGTCCTTCTCCTTGGTGATGGTGATAGGCAGTGGACTCCACTATCCTTTCACAAACAACACAGGGGCCCTGAAACTGGCCCTCCATTTTGGGGAAGGCTTCTTCTGATTCCTGTTTTTGTTCCTGTTTCAAGCAGAAGTGATAACCGTACTTTAGTATGTTTTCAGTCATTAGTGTGTAATGCTATTTCAGTGTTTCTTCCGTCTGTCAGTATACAGCAGCAGGTGTTGGGTCGTTTTGTGGCCATGTTTGGGAAAGGTGGAGACAGTGGGAAGTGTACAGTATATGATGCCTGCCTCCCCCTCCCACCCTCTCACTGCCTGTCAGCCATAGACAGGGTCCCGCTCCGCTCACGGTTAGTAAAACCATATCCGCTGCCTGTGCTTTCTCTGTTCCTACAGTGAATTAAGTTTTTAAGCTGTTATTTCTTTTTAAAGCAAAGGAACTTTTAAATGCTCTGTGTTTTCCTTCCTGACGCATTTCCAATGTGTTGTAAAAGAAATAAGTGAAAAAAAATAAACATGTGTTCATCTTTTAAGTGCCTGTGTCCATTTGAGTGTTTCTTCTTGAATGCAGTTTTGAGTGTTGAAGACATGCAGTATAGTATGAACTAGGAAAACACCATGAACCATACAAAATAGTTTATTAGTCTCATTACATCACCCAGATCTACTCTTGCCCACATCAATGGGCTAGTTCGTTTGGCATGGCCCGGTGGGTGGAGATTTCACTTAAGGACCAATGAAACTCTGCACACCCGGGCCATGCAAAACGAACTAGCCCACTCCCCCAGACCCTCCCACCCACAGCCCTCCCGGAGGTCTTTCACCTGCCCCACAGGTCCATCCCCTGGCCAGTATGCACCGGCTCCCCATCTTCCCCTTCTAGAGAGAATGTGCTACCATCCACCTCAATCATCCCATAATCACAAACTCCTCCAGGAGGTGTTGCCCATAGATCATTGTCTAGGCCCAGGCAACTTCATCCGACTCCTAATGAGAGTCCATTATAAGACATGGCCCTGGAGGGCCTCCATGACATCGCTATTATATGACATCTCTCAACATGTACACTCATCAGACCATTCAGATTTACAGGGGTCACACAGTAGCTTTGAACACATTGCGTTATCATCCATCTGTACACAGGCAGAACTGCCCACTCCTGGACCATGTCCACCTTTGGATATTAGCCCCACTCACGGTTGAGGCTTCTGTTCTGAGCAGAGCTGTACTATAGAGAGAGTACACAAGGTGTGTGTAGGGGAGGGGGGTTGAGAGGACACTGAAGTTAGAGGCAAGTCCTCCTCGGCCCCATTTCCAGTTGAGGACACAGTGAGACAATGACATTAAACACCAGCAGACAGACCCATATCAAAACTCCCACTGAGCTGTGTTACCCACCTTTCCAGACCCATCAGTCCCATGGTGGTTAGTCACGGCCCTGCTTCTCTTGGGAATATGTAATTCAAATTAGTTACAACTATAAAGGAAATACCATCATACAAATTAATCATACAATTAGTTGTTTTCCCCAATAGTAGCACAATTTCTTTTTCTCCCCGGCTCTAAGCAAATCCGACCCACGTCCTTTTTTTTTGCCTTTAGAGCTTTATTTACAGTTCATATATACCGAGTTCAAAGGTCACGATGCAGTAGTGAAAATACCTGTATGTGCCCTACAAATAAAATAGAAAACGCTAATGTCGTTGTCGACTTGATGGAGTAAGTAGCCATTTCCCTGAAGTCGCAGAATACCTTGAACACGGACATTTTAGTTTCATATCCTGGATAGTGGTCTGTCCTTTCACCATGTATAATAATACAACCATATTGCTGCTGAAAGTCATAGGAATCTCACAGCAAACTGTCTGTCCGCCATGCCATCTGCTAGACACCTGCCTGTGCTGCGAATATGAGGTGAGTGCAGAGCAGGGACCAGGGACTGAGCTACACACAGAACTGTGGTCAACTACGCACGCACAGTCACACACACCACCCTCCTTCGCCCCCTCACAACCCCCTTATCTCCCTCGGCGCACACACACCATGGTCCTACTACTCGTCAAGAATTCAAAGGCTAAACAAAATAAGGTTTTTCTTTTTGCTAATTTTTTGTTTACTACAGAGGTTTCATTTTGTTAAAAACAGGAAAAAAAGGTAACAAAACAACAGAAAAAAAACAGGTCTTTGGAAGAATCCCACATTGTGTCGCTAGACTACCAGCTTTTTCTCAGAGCATTTTTTTAAAAGGTCAAAGTTCCAGAGATCCGACTTCGCCCTCATCTGCATCCTTTACAAACGTAAACAAAACAACAAAGTACAATGTGTGTCTCTGGTCTCCACGACGCCCGCCACTCTCTCTACAGTCCTTGGGTGCACCAGGGGAGCCTCGCCCCCACTTTATCCAATCAGAGCGCTCCTTCCTCAGTAGATGACTTCGTACACAGTGGCCTTCTTGTCACCTGAGCCCGTCACAATGAACTGGTCATCGGGGGAGATGTCACAGCTGAGCACCGAAGACGACTCCTTTGACTTGAGAAACAAAAAGAAAGGAGTCCAGTTACACACACTGACCATGTGACACACACTGACCATGTGATACACTGACAGAGATACTGTTTTGCACTTACATTACAATTTTTCAAAACAAAAAAGTGATTTATATAATCCTGATACAGTAAATACTGAGCTAAAGACAAATAGTATAAATGGCTTAAATAACAACAAATGCACTTGAAATACACTTGCTCTAGAGAAATGCTAAGAGTATATAAAATCCCAGACCTACCTGGAATATGCTTGATCCATAGGGTGTCCGCCATGCGTTCAGGAGGTTATCTTTGCCTGTGCTCACAAACCATTTACCTGCAGAACCAAAGACACACACAAAGGGAGATGAAAACTCTGGGAAGAGGAGACATAGCATGACAAAGCGGGATTGCTAGTTGGTCGCATACTGGGAGAAAGAGAAAGGGACTGTGCTGTGTGAGCCTCAGAGTCATTTCAGGATAGTTTTGTCCTTAAGATTACGCAAGAAAACATTCGAATGGAACAATTAGCAGTGTGGTGCGTACCACAGTAGGCGAACTTGAGTGAGAGCACACAGCTCTCGTGGAGGTGCAGCTGGTACTTGTCTGGTTTGGAGACGTGCAGCACTTCTACATTACTGCTCTCCATACCCACTGCCAGCCACTCTCCTGTAGGACAGTAGCCCAGAGAGAAGATCTGGAGGGAGGGAAGGAACGTAATAAAGAGAGATTACACAACGGAACAGAGCTCATCTGACAAAGATCAGCATCATGTGTGAAGTGATACAGAGAGGAATGACAGGTCTTATATATTAACCAGTGAAATACAGTACTGGGGCGGCAGGTAGCTTAGTGGTTAAGAGCGTTGTGCCAGTAACCGAAAGGTCGCTGGTTCTAATCCCTGAGCCGACTAGGTGAAAAATCTGTCGATGTGCCCTTGAGCAAGGCACTTAACCCTAATTGCTCCTGTAAGTCGCTCTGGATAAGAGCGTCTGCTAAATGACTCAAATGTAAATGGTTCCACAAAGCGTCTCAGAGAAAGTCCTAGGAATCCTGTTAAAACCTGTTGTTTTAAGACTAAAAACACTCCCAGCTCAGAGTAGGTTTTAGGATGATGTTAAGACACTGCTCAGACAAACTCCAGGAGCCAGGAGTGAAATCTAAACATAAAAGTTTCTCAGCTGGTAATCACGCTCAATGACAATGTTGCAAATGGGGATTTAACCAATCACGATGAGGCATCGCAGGTTGTGAACTCTAAAGCACGTTTCAGACAACCACGTGAATGTGACTGTTGCAATGGTCAACATAGGCCCTAGGTGGCTTCAATTGACCAATTTATAGGCATATTCCCAATTTAGGCATATTTTTTTTAACAACGTGAAATTGCTTTCCAAAGGGATAACTTGAAATAACATGATGTATATAACATGATGAAAGAAAGACTTATGGTTATAAGTATTTAGGCATATGTGAAATAGGCCTCGTGAATTAATTGTCAAAAGCGCAAGAGATAGGCCTACTGTTGCATGTAGGTCTATATTATTTATGGTTGATCATTTAATTCCAAAGCAATTGCAACTGGCGCAGGAACCACTGCCTTTTTCTATTATCAAGACACCTGCTGGTAAGTCTTAACTGGTTAGGACAGCTCATGAGGTCCCCTAAATATTTGTAGACTAGGTGGGACTTTTATTACATTCCAGAGGTGCGTGGGGCTGCCACTTTGGGCACCCGGGGAGCTGTTGTTGTTGTTGTAGGGGGTTAACGGCCTTGCTCAAGGTCAGAACGACAGATTCTTCACCTTATCGGCTCGGGGATTCGAACTGGCAACCTTTCAGTTACAGGCCTAACGCTCTAACCGCTAGGCTTCATGCATAGCTTTTATTTTTACCCATAAGAGTATGAATAGAATGGCTCTATTCTCTCTGCACAAACGTTCTACTCTGAGAAACATTGTGGACATGGGCCCTGATCTAGTCTCACAATGTCTCATTTGGTGTCAGTACCTGTGAGGTGAAGTCGTGCTGCTGCAGCTGTCGTCCCTCTCTCAGGTCCCAGCAGCGTACTGTGTTGTCCAGCCCCCCCGTCCACAGTTTGGTCCCATCGTTGGAGATGTCAATACAGCTGGCCCCGTCAGTGTGGCCCTGGAACTGCCTGAGGAGCAGAACAATCAACAACATCAACCCCCAGCCATTCAGATGTAATCCATAGTCTATAGCACGGGTCTCTAACCTTTTCTAGCATGAGCGATACTTCCGAAAATGTAACGTTGTGAGCTACTCATTTTTTTCTAACTTTCATAGGCACATTCTTCTCCCCTAGGTCCTTAGTGTACAAGAGAAAGTCGTGCACTATGTTTTCTGCCAATATACCTGGTATAATAATGGTTAAACTGACAGATTTTGGTATTATGCTAATTAGATTTCCGAGGGGGTTAATAAACTAAGGTGGGCCAAAATTACGTTTTATATTTTCCCAAATTATATTTTCTCTGTTTTATTTTTCCTGGTTTTAGATTTGTTTTTCACTCTCAAAATTACAATTGTCCATAGAGAAACAATGAATGTGGATGTTCTGAGTCCATGGCAATGCTTAAATCACATCCGAATACATTTTTGTTTAGGTCTGAAGAAACACATTTAGATTTTTTTGTTTAATTCCCCTTTAATTGTGCATCTGGCCCTTTAATTGCGCATCTAGGGAGTGAGGAATGTGCTGTCTAATGTGCCGATCTAGCGATGGTTCTGTACTTCTGCTGCTCATTTCATTGCAAAGTTTGCAATTAACAAATAATAGATACAAATGATCTACAATACTTACTCATGATATACTTACTACTTCGCTGTTAACATTTAATTGAGAAGGTTTTGGGGAAAGTATTTCTGTCAACCCACAAGACAATTATCACAACTGGCTACACACGGAGTGATAGACAAACGCACGCAACACACAGACGGGCAGTATTGCTGGAAATTAATTGGCAGATACTGTGTTAGGTTTGGCTTTTTAAGCCAATAGTGACTAACCAGGGATGGGATAATATCAATGTTGATTAGATAGTAGCTGGGAGCTTGCGGTGTCTGATACTAATCCCCGAGCCGACTAGGTGAGAAATCTGTCGATGTGCCCTAAAGCAAGGCACTTAACCCTAATTGCTCATTTAAGTCGCTCTGGATAAGAGCGTCTGCTAAATGACTAAAATGTAAAATTTTAATGAATGTTTGCGGTGGAACACGTGAAAATTGCATGTACTTCCAGAATTGTTTGGTGGGCTGCGAGCTACTCGCGATCAACCTGTTGGAGACCCATGGTCTATAGCCTCCAACCCTGCGCTCTCCTCCCCTCTCTCCTGCCCTACCCTCCCAGTCTCCTCCTCTTACCTGACCAGGGTCTGGTTGTGCAGGTCCCAGACTACGATGTTGCCGTCGCTGCAGCAGGAGAAGCAGACCTTGTTGTCGGGGGAGATGGCCAGAGCGTAGCAGGCCGGGGCAGAAGACGTCAACTCCGCCTTGATGCGGGGAGTAGGTGTGGCCAAATCCCAGATTGACAACGTACTGGCCTCACCTCCAACGATGAGGGTCCGCCCATCAGGGAGGAGCTTGCAGGAGCGGATGTAGTTATCCCTATTCTGATTGGGTAACAGAGAAAATAACTCCAGTAATTATGGTGTGAAACATGTGACTGTGTGAAATGGGCAACATAAAATCCACAGCAGCAAAAATGAGTCCTCTCAGGAGTGTCACATCAGTAGTGCAACCCAGGATAATTTCCCTTCAAGAAAACCTGGCACATACATTTTTTTTATGGACACTGGAGAGCATTAAAAACAACTGCCTGTCTCTGTATACTTTTAACTTGTCCCTATGTGACCAGGGTTTGGAGTGCGTCCTTGCTCTTGCTCCTCCCATCCCCCTCGTTGATCTTTGTCAGTGCATCTGTAGCTATCCATTATGACCAGTGTCAGTGTGTGTGTGTCCGTCCGTCCGTCCACTCACCAGACAGTCAAGCTGGGCCATGGCACTCTTGCTGCCAGGCTGGCTGATGTCCCACACCTTGACACAGCCCTTGCCGCCGGTGTAGACGTGGCGTGTGGAGGTGCTGATTGTGACGGCACACACCACCTCTCCGTGGTTCAGAGTGTGGATCTGACGGGCGTGCCGCGGGATGCCCGGGCCCAGCAGGGCATCCGGAGGGAAAGGCACCGGCTGCATCTGGCCATCCGCACTCACGTGGAAAGAGTAGGCACTGGAGAGAGGGTACACAGAGGGAGCAAGGAGGAGAAGACCAGTTGTTACTTTAACAAGGCTGAAGCTTGAGGTTAACCTCCAACAATAAAACCCTACAATAACAACAGAGGAATATGAAGACTGTTTTATAACAGTGTAATTGTGCTGTGGTCACAGAATAAGAGGGTGTGGTGACCGTATAGGAGGTTGTGGTAGCAGAGGCAGCGAGAACAGTACTCACGGCTTTCCTGAGGCAGCGGACTGCAGGCTGGCGGGTAACCCTGGGACCCTCATGTGGGGGTGAGGAGACTCATAGCCCACCTAGAGGACAGGGACAAAGAATATATGTTAGCTCAGGCATCTGACAGAGCAGTCACAACTCAAACTGCCAGAAAGCCTTCTCAAAACCACATAGTAGATTTAGAATGTTTTCCCACAGTGAATTATAACATTCCATAAGGAGATATAATTGGTGTACGAGGTCATGCAATTGGATTATCAATAAAGGTTTAAAATCAGTATGTGCAAGTACACATACACCACCAGTCAAAAGTTTGGACGCACCTACTCATTCAAGGGTTTTTCTTTATTTTTACATTGTAGAATAATAGTGAAGACATCAAAACTATGAAATAACACATATGGAATCATGTAGTAACCAAAAAAGTGTTAAAACAAATCAAATATATATTTTATATGAGATTCTTTAAAAATAGCCACCCTTTGCCCACTCTTGGCATTCTCTCAACCAGCTTCATAAGGTAGTCTAGTCACCTGGAATGCATTTCAATTAACAGGTGTGCCTTCTTAAAAGTTAATTTGTGGAATTTCTTTCCTTCTTAATGCGTTTGAGCCAATCAGTTGTGTTGTGACTAGGGGTATACAGAAGATAGTCCTATTTGGTAAAAGACCAAGTCCATATTATGGCAAGAACAGCTCAAATAAGCAAAGAGAAATTGCAGCCCAAATAAATGCTTCACAGAGTTCAAGTCACAGACACATCTCAACATCAACTGTTCAGAGGAGACTGTGTGAATCAGGCCTTCATGGTCGAATTGCTGCAAAGAAACCACTACTAAAGGACACCAATAAGAAGAAAAGACCTGCTTGGGCCAAGAAACACAAGCAATGGACATTAGACCGGTGGAAATGTGTCCTTTGGTCTGGAGTCCAAATAGGAGATTTGTGGTTCCAACAGCCGTGTCTGTGTGAGACGCGATGTGGGTGAACGGATGATCGCCGTATGTGTACTTCCCACCGTAAAGCATGGAGGAGGAGGTGTTATGGTGTAGGGGTGCTTTGCTGGTGACACTGTCTGTGATTTATTTAGAATTCAAGGCACACTTAACCAGCATGGCTACCACAGCATTCTACAGCGATACACCATCCCATCTGGTTTGGGCTTAGTGGGACTATCATTTGTTTTTCAACAGGACAATGACCCAACACACCTCCAGGCTGTCTAAGGGCTATTTTACCAAGAAGGAGAGTGATGAGTGCTGCATCAGATGACCTGGCCTCCACAATCCCCCGACCTCAACCCAATTGAGAAGGTTTGGGATGAGTCCGACGGCAGAGTGAAGGAAAATGTGGGAACTCCTTCAAGACTGTTGGAAAAGCATTCCAGGTGAAGCTGGTTGAGAGAATGCCAAGAGTGTGCAAAGCTGTCATCAAGGCAAAGGATGGCTATTTGAAGAATCACATTTGTTTTTTGGTTACTACATGATTTCATATGTGTTATTTCATAGTTTTGATGTCTTCACTATTATTCTACAATGTAGAAAATAGTAAAAATAAAGAAAAACCCTGGAATGAGTAGGTGTGTCCAAACTCTTGACTGGTACTGTACATACACACACACACACACACACATACATATATACATATATATATATATACACACACAGTGGGGAGAACAAGTATTTGATACACTGCCGATTTTGCAGGTTTTCCTACTTACAAAGCATGTAGAGGTCTGTAATTTTTTATCATAGGTACACTTCAACTGTGAGAGACAGAATCTAAAACAAAAATCCAGAAAATCACATTGTATGATTTTTAAGAAATTAATTTGCATTTTATTGCATGACATAAGTATTTGATACATCAGAAAAGCATAATTTAATTTTGGTACAGAAACCTTTGTTTGCAATTACAGAGATCATACGTTTCCTGTAGGTCTTGACCAGGTTTGCACACACTGCAGCAGGGATTTTGGCCCACTCCTCCATACAGACCTTCTCCAGATCCTTCAGGTTTCGGGGCTGTCGCTGGGCAATACGGACTTTCAGCTCCCTCCAAAGATGTTCTATTGGGTTCAGGTCTGGAGACTGGCTAGGCCACTCCAGGACCTTGAGATGCTTCTTACGGAGCCACTCCTTAGTTGCCCTGGCTGTGTGTTTCGGGTCGTTGTCATGCTGGAAGACCCAGCCACGACCCATCTTCAATACTCTTACTGAGGGAAGGAGGTTGTTGGCCAAGATCTCGCGATACATGGCCCCATCCATCCTCCCCTCAATACGGTGCAGTCGTCCTGTCCCCTTTGCAGAAAAGCATCCCCAAAGAATGATGTTTCCACCTCCATGCTTCACGGTTGGGATGGTGTTCTTGGGGTTGTACTCATCCTTCTTCTTCCTCCAAACACGGCGAGTGGAGTTTAGACCAAAAAGCTCTATTTTTGTCTCATCAGACCACATGACCTTCTCCCATTCCTCCTCTGGATCATCCAGATGGTCATTGGCAAACTTCAGACGGGCCTGGACATGCGCTGGCTTGAGCAGGGGGACCTTGCGTGCGCTGCAGGATTTTAATCCATGACGGCGTAGTGTGTTACTAATGGTTTTCTTTGAGACTGTGGTCCCAGCTCTCTTCAGGTCATTGACCAGGTCCTGCCGTGTAGTTCTGGGCTGATCCCTCACCTTCCTCATGATCATTGATGCCCCACGAGGTGAGATCTTGCATGGAGCCCCAGACCGAGGGTGATTGACCGTCATCTTGAACTTCTTCCATTTTTTTTATAATTGCGCCAACAGTTGTTGCCTTCTCACCAAGCTGCTTGCCTATTGTCCTGTAGCCCATCCCAGCCTTGTGCAGGTCTACAATTTTATCCCTGATGTCCTTACACGGCGCTCTGGTCTTGGCCATTGTGGAGAGGTTGGAGTCTGTTTGATTGAGTGTGGGGACAGGTGTCTTTTATACAGGTAACAAGTTCAAATAGGTGCAGTTAATACAGGTAATGAGTGGAGAACAGGAGGGCTTCTTAAAGAAAAACTAACAGGTCTGTGAGAGCCGGAATTCTTACTGGTTGGTAGGTGATCAAATACTTATGTAATGCAATAAAATGAAAATTAATTACTTAAAAATCATACAATGTGATTTTCTGGATTTTTGTTTTAGATTCCGTCTCTCACAGTTGAAGTGTACCTATGATAAAAATTACAGACCTCTACATGCTTTGTAAGTAGGAAAACCTGCAAAATCGGCAGTGTATCAAATACTTGTTCTCCCCACTGTGTGTGTATATATATATATATATATATATATATATATATATATATATATATATATATATACACATACACACACACACAACTATATATATATATATATACACACACACACACACACACACACACACACACACGCCCCTTCCCTTCCCTCTCGTTCTCTTTCCCTCCCCTTCATCACTCTCTCACCACTGGTGATCGTCCGTATCCGGCTGCTGCTGCTGCGACGGCGGCGGCTGCAGAGCCGTTCATCTGGGGGGAGACCAGGTGGAGCCCAGCCCCGTAGGCTGCTGCTGCCCCCGCCAGTTCCCCGTTCACCCCTGGAGGGGGCAGGCCAAATGCCCCGGGGGGGTACGCCCCCTGCACCGCCAGAGGGTTCCTCAGACCTAGAGCTGATGGGGAGAAGAGAAAGGGGGAGAGAGGGAGGGAAGATAAGATTGAGAGAATCGATAAAGCAGTGAATTATAAAACACTGTTCATAACCTTAGAAGGTTAGAATCCAACCAGTAGCTGATGTTTATCAAAATCAAATGATTTGTCACATGCTTCGTAAACAACAGGTGTAGACCAACAGTGAAATGCTTAGAGAAAAATGCAGAGAAAAATATAATTACAATTGAAAAATTAAAACACAAGGAATAAATACACAATGAGTAATGAAAGATAACTTGGCTATTTACACGGGTACCAGTACCGAGTCGATGTGCAGGGATACAAGGTAAATATGTAATAATAATAATAATAATAAGCCATTTAGCAGACACTTTTATCCAAAGCGACTTACAGTCATGTGCGCATACATTTTTACGTATGGGTGGTCCCGGGGATCGAACCCACTACCCTGGCGTTACAAGCGCCATGCTCTACCAATTGAGCTACAGAGGGGTAGAGTGACTAGGCAACAGGAGAGATACTAAGCAGTAGCAGCAGTGTATGTGATAAGTTAAAAGAGTTTGCAAAATGCAGATAGTCAGGGTAGCTATTTAGTTAACTATTTAGCAATCTTATGGCTTGGGGGTAGAAGCTGTTCAGGGTCCTGTTGGTTCCAGACTTGGTGCATCGGTACCGCTTGCCGTGCGGTAGCAGAGAGAACAGCATGGCTTGGGAGGCTGGAGTATTTTAAAATGTTTAGGGCCTTCCTCTGCAATGACCTTAAAACTATACTAAACAAAAATATAAATGCAACAATTTCAAAGATTTTACTGAGTTACAGTTCATATAAGGAAATCAGTCAATTGAAATAAATAAATGAGGCTCTAATCTATGGATTTCACATGACTGGGCAGGGGAGCCAGGCCTAGCCAATCAGAATGAGTTTTCCCCACAAGACAAGACAGACTGAAATATTCCTCAGCACCACCTGAAGGTGAAGAATCCGGATGTGGAGGTCCTGGGCTGGCGTGGTTACACGTGGTCTGTGGTTGTGAGGCCGGTTGGACATACTGCCAAATTCTCTAAAACAACGTTGGAAGCAGCTTATGGTAGAGAAATGAATATGCAATTCTCTGGCAAAAGCTCTGGTGGGCATTCCTGCAGTCAGCATGCCAATTGCACGCTCCCTCAAAACTTGAGACATCTGTAGCATTGTGTTGTGTTACAAAACTGCACATTTTAGAGTGGCCTTTTATTGTCCCCAGCACAAGGTGCACCTGTGTAATGATCATGCGGTTTAATCAGCTTCTTGATATGCCACACCTGTCAGGTGGATGGATTATCTTGGCAAAGGAGAAATACTCACTAACAGGGACGTAAACAAATTTGTGCACAAAATTTGAGAGAAATAGGCTTTTTGTGCGTCTGGAAAATGTATGGGATTTTTTATTTCAGCTCATGAAACATGGGACCAACACTTTACATGTTGCGTTTGTGTTTTTTGGAGCTTGCTGTATCTCGGGCTCTGTTGTAGTCACCTTGTTTCTGACACCTTTATCAGAATCGCACAGTTCTTAACTTTCTGACAGTACTAAGAATGTTTGTAGGATTCATAGTTTTGAAACCAAAATGTACTTTATGAGGGTAGTATACAATATTATGTGTTATTTAGAAAATGCCACCAGAGGGTGTCAGAGTTTAAGAGGTTTAACACAGTTAACACAGAGGAGTTCCTGTGGCAGCTCTGATCCTCTATGCAGGGTTCCACATCAAATTGGATCAAACACACAGCTCTCTTAGAACATCACCAGACCACTACTGCACTCTGCTGGCTGGTTTGCCACACTGCAGTGTGGAACCACTAGACTACATAGAGGGAGCTGCTGGGAGAACAGTGATGCATTCCAATAGACTGAAGCAGCGTAATTATGAAACAGTTCAGTCACAGTCCTTCACCTCTCTTAATCTCGCTGTTTAAAGGCTCCCGTACAGCTCTCAACCTCACAGGCAGCAGGCAGACGCATCAGTTAACCCACATCAAGGGCAGTTTGGATAGCTCAGCTGGTTGGAGCGTGGTTTACCATTTTGATTCATGCCATGGACCACAGATACTGAATATAGATGGAAACTCAAGGCAGCTTCGGATAAAATTGTCTGGTAAATTATCATGGCTGGTATTGAAGACCCTTTAAAAACCTAGTGAAAACTGCAATGTAAATGCAATCCATGATCATGATGGTCTTGTGGTTGGTCTTACCCAGTGGGTCAATGCCAGGTTTGCCAGGGATGGGGCGGAACTGTGGGGGGGCACTGGGGCCGGGGGTGGAGGAGTCCTGGGAACTGTGGGGGGTGCCTGGCTTCATACCTGGGGTACTGGACTTCTCCCTCTGTTAGAGAAAAAGAGGGAGAAAGATGGAGGAGGGAGAGGGGGGGTGAAGAGAGAGAGAAAGAGAGCGAGAGAGATTGGGGGCGAGAGAGATGGGGAGAAAGGGAGATGGAGAGAGAGATGGAAAGAAGGAGTGAGAGAAAACGACAGTGTGAATGTGAGGGGGAGAGAGAGAGAAGGAGAGATAGTGTGATGTGAATGTGAGATGTCCTTCCATCACAGCTATCAGAGAGAGACTAGGTGCTAATACTGTGGAATTACATTAAGGACACCTAACATGAAGAAATCATTTGGAATGGATGTAATACTTAACAGATTACTTCTGTATCACTGCTGCTATTTGTATCTAGAATAGTATATCTATGCTGAAGAAAGATCATGCCAAAGGAGATATGTGGGTGTGTAGAAATGCAGTAATTCAGTAAGGCTCAGTAAGGCTCACATGGGACCGTGAGCATCCTTGACACTGCGCGTGAAGCTGAATCGAAAGATCATCACTGGAACTAAGTGTCTCTCACCATACATACAATCACTCATCTGACCCCGAGCATAACTGTATGAAACTGTGTGTGTGTCTCACAATAAATGTATGTAATGGACTGATCCTGAGCATACCGGCGGCTCCCGATCCTTGCTGCGGGAGGGGGAGGCTTGGCTGCTGGAGGAGGCCAGGGAGGCGGGGCTGGCCTGGGGAGGGGCGTCTTTACGGGAGGGGGGCAGTTTGTCCAGGCCGTTTTCTCTGGACGAGTAGGAGTGCACACTGCGGGGGGACGAGGGGTCCTGCGGGGTCACAGAGAGGGGTGGTTAGTGCACCAGCCCCACAGTGTTTCTCTCATCAATCTGAATCAGTCAATTATCAGAGTAAATTTGGGTGTGGACTGAGGCGCAGAGATGGGCCAACTCACCTCATCCACCACCAAATTATCATCACTCTTATCCGCATCACTGCCCTGCAATCAAAATGTGGGTTTTAGTTAAAAATAGAACACCACACACACACCTGTGTACATGCCTGCGCACACACACAAATTAACAAATTACTGAATGAATATGACACAAACAATTGGTAATCAACTCAGCATGGTAGCATACTAACATAATCTGTCATGAACTCCTTCTCGTCAGCTTTCCTCTTCTTCCCATTGCTGAGGTAGTCTGCTGAACGACCCTTATCCCCGTTGGACATAGAGCTCTGAGGGGACGGAGGGGGGAAAGGAAGGAGGAGGAAGAGATAATGAGGTATAAATCATATCAACTTCATAACCACCCCGACTAAATGTGATGGAAAAATCACACCGCATCGACTGGGGTTCAGTGCCCGTGAGGGGGCTAGAGGATGGAGGTGTAGTATGGTGTACTGTACTATGTTGTAGTGTACTTGGGTGTAGGGAACTTGGGAGTATAGTGTACTCACCGGTCCAGCCTCACGGTCTACGTCCATGATGGACAGCATCGCCCCGCGTCCCCGCAGCCAGCCAAAACAGAGCAAACACAATACAGCATGACTATCACCATTCTCACAAACACACAGCTAAAAACATGCCTCAGCCCATCCCAACCTCACATAGACCAACCACAACTACTCTAATCCCAACCAAAACCTAAACCAACTCTCCCCATCCAGCCTAACCCAAACCTGGCCAACCTAATCTCCCTTCTCCCATCATCCCCGTCCCAGCCCATACCTCTGTGGTGCTCTGCGGCGGCTGCAGCAGCGGCAGCCTCCATGTGGGCCCTCTCGTGGCCCTCTTTGGCAGCCAGCTGGGCCCCTAGGGCCCCGGACAGGGCCAGCAGGCCGGACCCTCCGCCCAGCGCCAGGCCAGGGTGAGGGAGGCCCCCAGGGTGGGGCCCCATTTGCAGGCCCTGCAGGCCCTGCAGACCCTGGAGACCCTGCAGGCCCTGCAGACCCTGGGCCACGTGCTGAGAGAGGTGCTGCGCCTGCAGCTGTTGCTGGAGGGAGGAGAGAGGAGAGAGAGAAAACAAGTCAGGGGTTGAGTTGTGGTCTACTGGGTTAGAGGTGGACTGGACGGACGGACGGATGGGGGGGGGCTGAAGGGAGAGGTATACAGAGAGGGGTGTCACAGAGAAGGGTGTCTCCATTGATGGAGGAGCCCATGCATGGTGCCATCCAAAATGGAGCGCGAGTGGAGGGAAGGAGCGCCTCCCTAGGAGAGAGAAGACTGCCACAAAATCAAACCATGGAGTGCATGGTTGGAATGATGTGAAGGCAAGAAAACCATAATTGTATTATTTTTCGTTTTTCATTTAATACAAAATAATTGACTTTTTCAGATAACACTGAAATACGATTAGGGGGGAGGGGAAGAAACTTAATTCCTCTGGTTTGATGAGGCCATGAGTTGTCTCTTGGCACCCAGCAATAGGGTTGTGCAGACACACAGATAGTGTCATCTTTCATCTCTCCTTCTCTTCTCTCTCTCCGTTTCCTAACAGTCTCATCTCAACCTGTTCCAGTTAGGCCCGCACTACGTGACCAATTTGTGTGTGTGTGTGTGTGTGCTGGGAGGAGGGGGAATTGGCTATCCACAGAAAACACAAACAAAAGAGCCAAAATAAAGACGTATGAGAGGATGAAGGTACACACTGTATGAGGTAGAGGGGGGAGTCCACGTACCCCTATAGACGCATTTAACTCCCCCATAGTCACCTGCTTGGCGCGCTCCATGGCCTGGACCACCTGCTGTTGGTGCTGTGGGACAAACCAAGGTAACAGTGAACTTGAAAGGAAAGGTCGGAATTTTAACATGCTTTATAAATTCAATAATAATACTTTCAAGACCACTATTACAGCAATTGGTATAAAGTATGTACATGTTTAGGAGGACCAAGTCTTGAAGGAATAACAGTCATGCTTTGAAGCTCCATAAGGGTTCATGTCACTGTGTAAATGTGTATGCCTGCTGCATAGTAGTATGTCAATGTTTTACTGTGAGTTATTGGTTACTAGGAGCATGCATGTGCACGCCTGAGGGGGTGGGTGGCTGTCAGAGAGATACTGAATGTGTTACTGATGTCTTAATATGCATGACCGTGTGTGTGTGTATCTGTCTGTGTTTGATTTGCGGTGTGTGTGTGCATGTCTATGTTTGATTTGCAGTGTGTGTGTGTGTGTCTTCAGGTGATCTCACCTCCTGTGACAGGAAAGGGATGAGCTGGGCACAGATCACATTCAGCCGCTTGGCGATCTCTGTCTGCAAAAACAAATAGGGATTGTGCGTGAGGACACTGTGTGTGTGAGGACACTGTGTGTGTGAGGACACCGTGTGTGTGCTCATCAAAGCAACACACACACCAGAACCTGAGCAGGTCTGGTTGCGAGGGCCAGTGTGGTAAATATTTTAGCTCCTCACATTTGGTCCATGCAAACCTAAACACTGCCAAGAAGCCCGGCTAAAATATTCATGGCCAGTATCTAATGTGACCGCCCATCCCAGAGTGTGTGTGTGTGTGGCTACCTACTGGGGGTCAGTGGGCTTAGCCATGGGCATCTGCCAGCTCTTCCTCCCTCCCTTCCTCCCTCCTCCTCCTCATCTCACTACCATTAGTGAAGTAATCAAGCCTACACACTCTGCCATGTGTTGTATCAGAACCCCCCCCCCCCCCACACACACACACACCACCAGTAATGATATGCATGCAGAGATCATGATGACAACATCATTATGACCGGGGGCCATTTTCCTGCTGACAGCTAGCCTCTGCTGTACCGTCTCCCCCTTCTCTCGCCCCGGCCAGGCGACACAGCCCCACACACATCACACCATTCTCTACCAACTGATTTGTTGACACTGTGGTGACCTCCCACCCCCCTCCTCCTTCACACTCTTCCTCCTCTCCCTTCTTCCTCTTGCCTCTGCTCATCTCGTCCCCCCTCCTCTACCCTCATCCTCTTCCCTCTATTCTGCAGACAGGAAGTGCAGACCCCCCCACTTCCTCCGCCACCCCCCACCCTTCAGCACTCTCCTCCATAAATCCATCAGCGCCCTCACCAGGGAAACACAATGATTTCTTGTTAGAGAACGCCAACTACTAAATGACATCTTCAGGAGAGAGGGAGCCAGGGAGATCGGAGAGAAGGGCAGGGTGGGGGGTGGGGGAGAGAGCGAAAAAAAAACTAGAGACCGTGAGCAAGGGAGAGCGCAAGAGAACGAGGATAAATAGGGGAGTACAAAATGAGAGAGGGAAATGAAAAGAAGAGAAGGAGGCGGGGGAGGCTCTTGTGCCGTTGAGGAAATGAAAGCCAATGAGGCAGGATGCACGAGGAGGAGGAGGAGGAGGAGGGGGAGTGAGAGGGAGAGAAAGAAAGAGACGGAGAGAAGGAAGGAGGAGGAGGAGGGGGGCAGGGTGATTCGTGTGGCTTGTCAAAAGCAGAGCGATTGAGATGGCAAAACGAAGGGAGAGAGCAGACGCTCTGAAGGCAGTGACCTGATTTAAAGTGAAATTCAGCAAGGACTGTATGTCTGCAGGAGAGAGGGATGAAGAGGGAGAAACAGGATGGGGTGTCAAGGAAAGACAGAGGCACGGGGGGGGGGTTATGATAGAAAGAAGGCGAGAAATAGAGAGAGGAGAGGGGTTATATAGAAATGAAAGTATAAGGGAGATAAGGATAGAGACAGAGGAGGTTATAGCGAAAGAGAGATAAAGGGATAGAGGGAGGGATAGAGGGAGGAGGAGGGTAAAGTCGGCAGTGGTAATAGACAGGATTTATGAGGGGAGAAAATAGGATGTTCCAGCTGCTTTGGGAAGGAAGGGCACATCTCTCGTCTCGCCTGTCTAGAAATATGAATTCGGTTTGCAGATCCTATTAATGCATCAGCAGCACAGTGCCATGGGTCCATCATGGGTGGATTAGCATTTTGTGCTGGAGGCCAGTTCACTAGATTCTCCCATCAGCATAGCATACATACATTACTCATCTAGACCCAGGTCGACTAGAGAGGGAGGGAGGTTAGATTGGGAGGTTGGACTCACCTGTTTGTGCATTTCAATATTAAGGCCGTAGGACATCTCGTAATACTGTAAAAGAGAGACGGAAGTTGATGGTTGTACATTTGCATATATGCAGATCTACGAGAAAATAAAAAAAACATTCAATGCTGGATGAGTGGGCGAGTCGATTTGTTCGCTTTTATTCATTTATTTAATGACCTCAGCTCTGGGCTATGCCAACCTGGCATGTGAGCACAGAGATGGTGGTGGTGTCAATCACTCGTTTCAGAGCAAGGATGGAAAATCGTCGTCGGCCAGAGCTGAAGCCATTTGAAAAAACAGACGTTGTAGTGTGACATTCTGACATGCCATTTTCAGCAGGGTTGGTTAAGGAGTAAAAATTGAGGGGTTTGACAGCTAGGTAGAAGAAATTAAGAAATGGCAGCACTGAGAGCTGTTTGATGCAGAAGTGTGTGTGTGTGTGTGTTCAATAAAAAGGCCCTTCCTGATGGCTGGCTGTTGTGTTCTGCCGCTGTGCCAAGATTCAGAGCTGTTGCTAGGCGACTTGCAGACTCCAAAATTCAGAGCCAAAAAGAAGAGAGAAATGGGTGGAGATGTATGCCAAGCGCCAGGCTGTGCCAGGCTGCCACATAGCTCCTTTTGCCACAGTGGGCACTGGGCAACACACAGTCAGCTGTGGTTAGGGCCTTCTCTGATCATAGTCTCGGATGAACGCTGCCAGGAATGTGGAGGATTACCCATATCAGAGCTGGAGACAACACACACAAACACAATGTAATATGTGCGTGTTTGCGTGTGTGTGTGTGCGCTCGCGCACATGTGTGGTCCATGTGGTTTCCAGTGGGTGTGATGTGTAATCCCTTGCCAGATACTGGCATGAGTGGTGTAGTGTAGTCAACAGACAGACAGACAGCTGGCTGTGTGTTACCCGAGAGAGAGTTGTCTTGTCTGTCTGCTCTGTCTGGGAAAGCAACACAATGGATCTCAACTCTTCTCCTGCAGAAATGAATCATCAGCATGGTGTTCGTTAGAAAACCCAAGGATGTGGATGGGGAGTGTGTGTTCTTGCGGGTCTCACCATGACGTAGTGTCTCTGGATCTCAGTCTTCTCGGTGGCCAGTTTCTCACACTCCATCTTCAGGCTGTAGGAAAGAGGAGTTTAGATTTAGAAGAGGGCAGATACTCTATATCATAATACTGTTCAGATTTTTTCAGATTCATACAATACATCTAAAAAAAGTTGCCCGATACACAGACAGAGCCTGAAATATACAAACATTAACACAAACAAACAAGTCCATATTTAGTAGGCAGTGCAGACACATGCAGCTAGATTTGTCCCAGAAAAGATAGGATTGGGCTGGTGACAGGACATTATCGCTTCAGAGCACACCAGGAATAGATGAGCTCACGCTTAGCACTTGACACCAAGCCAGAACAGACCAGGCAAGCCAGGACCAAGGTCTCCCAGGACCAAGGTGTCATAGAAGGGCAGGGATGCGACACGCCTCTCCCTCCCTATCCATCCCTCCTCCCTCCACCTTCCAATCACCCTCCCTTTCTATCTGTCCCTTCCCTCCATTTGGCCATCTGTCAATCTGTCTGACCCCTCCTCACTCCCTCCATATGTCCTTGCCAAGTCACCATGTGACCATGTCCCACCAAAGCACCCCAGGAATCCTGAGCCCAGCACGCACACAGCCCTCCTTTAAAAAGGAAATATTCACCCATTTTGAATGTTATATTGTTTTTGTGCATCTCTGCATGATGTTCTATCGATTCCCAGGGTCAATTCATGTTTATCAGAGCTATTGCCGTTCAAGCAGGCAGAAATTCAGCCGGTATGACGTAGCATTGCGATAAAGCCGCTCTCACTACACTGGAAGTTAATAGAAAACGTCTATCATGCACGTCAGATTTCAATACTGGCCGATATCATAATAATAATAATATGCCATTTAGCAGACGCTTTTATCCAAAGCGACTTACAGTCATGCGTGCATACATTTTTTTTTTTTTGTGTATGGGTGGTCCCGGGGATCGAACCCACTACCTTGGCGTTACAAGCGCCGTGCTCTACCAGCTGAGCTACAGAGGACCACATCATAATGCAGCAGGTTGTCTTCTCTCGAACGAGGCATTGATCATATTTTTGCAATATTCCTACCTCGAGAAATGTGTCATTTAACAGAGGGTCCACCACATTTCTCTTATTTGTCTGCCTCTTCAGTCCAGACTGCATGGTGCCGTTGCGAATGTCAGACTCCACTCTGCGAGGCACATCGACCTGCAGGTTGAACATGCTAAGATTGTAGACTCCTAAATTGATAGCTGTAAAATCGCCTAAACAAACTGCAACTAACTACTTCATATGTCGATATTTACTTAGGTATTATTGTGTGTAGCTACGTTTGCTAGCTAGCCAGCCCATAGAGAGTGCATTGCATTGTGGGTTTTGTAGGCGACTTGAGCTGCAACAGATTTCCACAATGATTTTAACATGTTGCTACCAACCTTATTATAATGACAAAATGAAACATTTGTTCACAAAAAATAATTGTTCTCACATATTGTTATCTAACACTGTAAATTATAGGAATTAGTGGTTTTGGGTGGATTTTTCCTTTAAGGAACCAGCCAGTCAGCCAACAGCTCCCTCCCCTGCGTCCTTTACACACAGACACACACACCCCCCTCCATTCTCCTCTCCACCCTTCCCCTGGGCTGTATTTCACCCCGGTGCCACGCTGCTGACTTGTTTGCGTGCAGCAGATTTATGCGGGGGAGAGCAGCGAGGGCCTGGGAAATTAGAATATGATTAATACTGCAACATTACCAGGCTGCAACAGGTAATAACAGCACATCCGCTCCCC